AAAAGCCCTTAATAATAAATGGAAAAAAGCAATGGCCTTAAAAGTAAAAGTTTCTAAACTATTTAAGAAAGAATAGTTTGACGATCTTACGTCCACTCGTAAACGAAGTCCCCTAAACACTATATTATTAACTATTTTCTATTAAGTATTGACATTACATATTTTTTCACAGTTGGTAAAAAAAACAAAAAATGAAAACATGAACAGGAACGGAGTAATAACGAGCAAATAATTCGGTTGAACATGTTCTTATTATAAAGGCATATGCAGCTGGACACTTAAAAAAAAGAACAATGAATCACAAGCAATTTATGTATTAAGTGCGGGTTAACATTTATTGAGACTGCGATTCATGTAGTATCACCTAGTATTACATAAATTAAGTGCACGCAGCCTTTTGCATTTGTTTTGTTTCAGTAACGCGACGAAAATTCAACCAAACTTGCATAATTTTTAGCAGATTCGCATATACTTTGTTGTAATTTTGTTTCTCTTTCTACAAACTCAGAACCAAATTATCTGATCGTATTGAAATTATCTAGACTTGTTTTGAATACGATTGTTTAATGATTGATCAAGTCTATATTTTCCTTGATCGCAGCCTAGTTTATACATGGCAAAAATTTTACCGAAAATTGTGCTTTTTTGTATACACTCTTTCTATAAATTCAAACTTAATTTTTTTTAGTTAAATTTTTCGTCCAATCGCAAGCTGTACTCAATTACTAAGACGAAGTATTCCATTTTTTTCGAATTCAGTTAGAACTCCCACGAGTTACTCTGAATGCTGTGGGGATGCTTTTTTCTACTTTTTACCAAAAACCAAGTGTCATCGCCATTCCGAAATTTTTAAACAAAATTTTATAAAATATTCTCTTCTGCACACTAAAAAGTTTTGATGAAATTATTCTTTTATTAAACAGTTAGAAAAGCAAAAAAGCATTAAGTTAGCACCGGATCGGTTTTTTGCTAATATCTAATTTATTAAAAATAATTTTAATAGGCTAGGAAAAAGTTTGGCAACCGTTATAAAATCAAATTATTATAAAGGTTATGCCGACGGAAAAAAGTGCTGGCGTTCGCTATGGAAGTTCAGCGAAGATTGAAAAATCTTAAAAAGTATTTTTGTTGCCATGCAACTTTATCGTTTTGCAGTCAATCGTATTGCAACTGAGCTGTCACATATATATTCTTCTACTCTTCGAGAGCGTTATAAATCCTTAACAAGCTATTTTGAAGAACTTTGCATATTATTGTCCGAAAAAGCGAACAATAAAGTGATGAATATATTATTTTCCCATGTTCAGTTGACCTTACCTGGCTGACAACCATATCGTTAAGCTAAAGCTGGATGGTATGGAATATTCGTCCATAGCCGAATCTAACTATCGTATATGTTTTTCCTTGCTTTAAGAGAAATGTAATGAATATAAAAGGTTCAACCTCTGGTATATAATCTTTTTACTTGGGGAGTACCTAAGAGACACATTTTCTTTTACTTTTATAGATAAATTTAAACCTGCACATAAATCTCATGGTTTATACATATATTTATACAACGATAAATTATTCAAAAAACTTCAAATGATGTGCAAAAATTATTGCCAAAATTTTTCTGACCAATAGTTTACTTTTCGTTTGCTTTCGAATATCTTGCGAAGTATGGATATACACCACATTAGCATAGCTCTTTAAAACTAAGCCCAATCTGCAATGTCTCAACTCGCAACATCGGCAAATCGTTGCTCTGTTCTACATTCGTCGGAACTTTTCCATAATTCGTTTCGGGTTTTCAGAAATGACCGATTGTTTCGCAATGATGGCGGTGTTTTAATTGACATATCTGCGGCAGTCCCCTCCTATTCAATTGAATTTCCCACTACTCCCGACGTTGATTTTATCGCCATTCGAGCGAAATTTCCTAATAAGCACTTATATGTGACCTATTCCTACATTCCCCCAAACTCGGATATTTCTATATATAAGAAACAGGCCGCCCTCATTTGCGAAGTGGCCAAGCAATTTAAACCCACCGATATAGTCATTGTGTGACTTCAATTTGCCTCAAGTCACTTGGTGTTACATTGATAGTTCTGGCTGTTTGATTCCTACTTCAATATCTGACAGAGCTGTTGTGTTCTTTAACGAATTATTTGATAATAATTTAGTTCAATACAACCGTGACTCTAATTGTAATGCTAAACAGCTTGATCTCTGCTTTGCCAATTTCCCGGAGATTAGTGTAAATCGTTGCCCACCTTTTAGTTTACCTGAGGATCCTTATCATCCAGCAATGTTTATTTCCTTTCATCACAAGCATGACGGTTCGTTGAACTATTTTAATGTTCCAAATTCAACTTTTTCAAATAAATCAATATTTCGCTGCCAAAATCTCATCTTTCACATATTATGCTTCTCACTTGGAAGTATTGAAAGTATTGTTACTGTCATCGTTCTACAATATCTTAAATCTTGCTATTTCTGCATCTGTTTCGATCGAGCAGTCCCGACCTCGAAGCAGGTGTCCCCCGTGGATTAATAAAACAATTAAGTATCACAAGAATAGAAAAAACGCTTTTCAAAAAATATTGGCAAAGTGGCTCTGCTTCCGAATATTTCGCTTACTCGGCGGCAAGGCATGGAATTAATTTCCTCAACCACCAATAATAATGCAGATACCTTCAGGTTATTAAATCCTTTCTGTTTGCTAACTCTAAATGCTTTTTTAAGTTTGTTAAGTCCAAAAGAACAATCTCCATAAATCTCTCGGATGTTTCTTTTAACGGCTCTGAGTGCTCGAATGATATTGAAACCTGAAATCTCTTTGCTGAATATTTCCGATAAAAGTTATCGACCGCTAATTCCGTTTTATCAGCAAACAGCATATCTGTTAACTAATTTGGTTTCAATTCCTAATTTGGTTATTTCTGAAAATGACGTTTTTGAAATGTACTTATATCTTGTGCTGGCGAGCTATGCGATGTTATCTCAAAGATTTTAACAAGTTCTTGAATTTAGGTGCTTTGCCTTTGTACTGGAAGACTTGTTTCCTTATTCCTATTCACAAAAATGGAAGTAGGCAACTTATAGAGAACTACAGAGTCATTGCCAAGTTGCGTATCTTGTCTAAACTGTTCGAGCGAATTGTGACTCAACATTTGGCCTTTGCCATCAAATCGTATTTTGCTCAACTCCAACGAGGAAAGGAAGATTGAAAAGGAAGATCTACACTCACCAATCTGTTAGAGTTTACTTGTCACATATACACTGATTTTAGTAAAGCGTTTGATTTGGTTAATCATAAATTACTCATCTTTAAACTTCAAGCCTCTGGCTTCCTTCTCTATTTATTGAAACGGATACGCTCTTATCTGCACAATAGATCATTCAGGTTTCTTCATCACCTCAGATGAATTCCCCGTGTTCCTCAAAGCAGCCACTTAGGACCCATTTTGTTTAATTTATACATTAATGATCTGCCATCGGTGATTACCTCCATCGAGATATTAATGTATGCTGATGATGTGAAACTGTTTTGTGCCTTCTCCGTAGAATTGCAATCACACTAGCTTCAAAGTGACTGGAATAATTTGGTTGCATTAAGCTCGTTGAATCTTCTGAAACTAAATTTAAATAAATGTAAGAAGTTTTCTTTCGCAAGAAGGAAGTCATTTACTACTCAGTATTTTATTGATTCGCACAGGTTGGAGGACGTCGATTTGTTCGCAGATTTAGGCGTTATGTTTGAGCATAGGTTACGTTTTAATTTGCATATTGAGCTCTCGTTAAGTAAAGCTAGGTCCGCGCTTAGTTTTATAGAGAGGTGATCCAAGGCGCTTGATGATCCTTACATTACGAAAAGGTTGTACATGTGTTTGGTTAGACCTATACTCGAGTATGCCTCTGTTCTGTGGTCTCCTTCATGTAGGTGCTATCTTAATTCAATTGCATCTCTTCAAAAGCAATTCCTGCTGTTTGTCCTTAGGTATTTGGGTTGGGACCCGATTGCCTCTCTTCCTCCTTATGAAAACATGTTGCTTCCGTTATCATTACCGTCACTTGAAAAACGTAAATTTTTTCTTGACGTTTCCTTCTTAATCAAAGAAATAAAAGATACTATTGATTCGCCCGCATTACTTAGTCAGATAAGCTTTAATGTCCCTAACCGCTTCTCTAGGCCCTTTATCTTGATTAATCGTAGTCAATGTAATTACATTTACAAGCTGTTTAACCCGCTCAAACTTGTTTGTTGTTTTTCTAAATGACGTCTATCACTTATTCTCATTATCGGACTCTTTAAAGTCCTTTAAGCAACATTAATATGCGCGATTTACCGATGTCGTGCTTAAACTAAATTTTAACCTTAATAAGTCATTATGATTCGAAAGTTAATTGTTGTTTACTGTTATCGTTTGCCAGGCTTGTGCATGTTTGCGATGGTTTAGAGGTTCATTTGCAATTTGGTCCTGTACTGATTGTTGGTGTGGCTCTATGCTAATTGTGTACAAGCTTTTTTTCTTTTTTTTTCTTCTTATTTGTTTTATTATACTTATATTAGGTTTTAATATTAATTAATTTAAGGTTTACTTTAAGAGTCAATTGAACTCGATTGTCAATTTGTTTTAGTTGAGTTTCATGGATGAGTAAATAAAATAAATAAATAGAAATATTTAGAACAAACGTTCCGCAAAAAGATAAAGGATATTTTGGCATCCATCAAGCCCTTCACCAGCGCTTCTGGCTTTTTCGGCATTCTCACTCGAGATTGCAAGTGAAACAGTCAGAACGACTGTTAAGTTGAACGTACGCAGATTACCGCATAGAGGGCATAGGCTGAGGGGCTGGTTAGATAAAAAATTCGCTTTTCGTAAATACTACATAAACACTACGGTTACATATGATAGAGTGCTACTTACGATACAATAATAATCGTTCTATTCCCATTTTATGATTTCTTTCATTTTTGTGCGGATTAAAATTAATAAAAAATTCTTTCCTAGTTCTGCAACAAGCAATCGTTTAAGGTGGATAAACAATACGGATTTGCCAAAGAGTCTCCAAATTTTAGACTTGCGTGCTAATCCTATAGCACGTGTGATGCCTTTGGCTTTGCGAGGAATGACCAAATTGCGTAAATTGTAATAGTTTCCTAAGCTTTTTAAAAAGAAAAAATAATTTAGGAAAATTTTTTTCTAGAATACTTTCTGACGTACGTTTTTTGAAAAATTTTCCCGATTTAGAGGGGTGCTTTACATTGGAAATTCTGAAATTAGATCGCGCTGGGATAACTGACGTACCAGTTAATTTATGCCGCCAATCGCCAAGACTGAAAAGTTTGTAAGTTAACTAAGTCATAAAAAGAAATTGAAGAGAAAAAGAGAAATAGTTCTATTTTTTTAATATAGAGAGTTAAAAACCAATTCCCTACAGCGCATTCCAATATTAGGTAATTGCAGAGAGTTAAGACTGTTGTAAGTATTAAAGAAAGCTTGTTAAAAAAATAGACTTGTAAAATTATATATATTTATGTATTTAAATATATATCTTATCATTTTAAGAGATTTATCCAGTAATCTTATAGAAAATTTACAAGGACGTCCCTTCTACGGCCTAAAACAGCTTCACGATTTATTGTTGTCATACAATCGTATACAGATGATAACTCAGGACGCGTTTCTTGGCATAAGTAAATTACAACTATTGTAAGCTTTCATCTTAATATTTAAAATTTCTCCTTATCTATCATTTTACATATTCGTTATTTTAGAGACCTAGAGGGTAACCAAATATCTTATATACATAAGGACGCTTTCATTGCTTTTAGTAGCTTGGAAGATTTAAATCTCGGTAACAATATTTTCCCCGAATTGCCTTCAAATGGTTTGCAGCGTTTGTTGCATTTGAAAACGTTTAATAATCCAAAATTGAGAAACTTTCCTTCGCCCGACACTTTTCCCCGTATACAGACTTTAATACTATCGTATGCGTATCATTGCTGTCCTTTTATACCACTGGTGGCCATGTCAGCAAGTAAAAAGCCTCCTTTAGTTCAAGAAACCGTTCTATTCCCTTCAGATGCCGATTTTGACATGAGTTTATGGAATAATAGTAAATTGGACATATGGCCGCAGCTGCGTAAGTTTTAAATGAATCAATTTTCAAGACTTTCGTAATCGCCTCCTTTTTTCTTATTTCAGATAACTTAAGTAAAAAATTTGGGTCTCAAATGTATGATATATGGGATACTTTTGGCCAAGATTTCAACTATCCTAATACTATACCTGCTTACATGGAGGAATACTTTGAGGAAGAGGCAGCCACTGGGCCAGTTGGTTCTTCAGCTTCTGCCACCACTATCTCTACCTATTCGCCTAACACTTTTGGTTCAGGAAGTCTATTTGCTAACTTGGGTACGGATCTGAATCCGGGTAGTATACAGTGCCTACCTATGCCCGGTCCTTTTCTACCCTGTGCGGATCTTTTCGATTGGTGGACTTTGCGTTGTGGTGTTTGGGTTGTCTTCTTACTTGCTTTACTGGGCAATGGGACTGTGGTATTCGTTTTGATATTTTCTCGTTCCAAAATGGATGTGCCACGTTTTCTAGTTTGCAATCTGGCAGCAGCTGATTTTTTTATGGGCGTGTATCTTGGAATATTGGCTATAGTGGATGCTTCCACTTTAGGCGAGTTTCGAATGTTTGCAATACCTTGGCAAATGTCAATGATATGCCAGATCGCGGGTTTTCTTGCCGTTCTATCCTCCGAATTATCGGTGTATACTTTAGCTGTAATCACCTTAGAGCGTAATTATGCTATTACTCATGCTATACATCTAAACAAAAGACTATCTCTAAGGCAAGCTTCCTACATAATGATCGTTGGTTGGTCGTTTGCTTTAATTATGGCCGTATTACCTTTAACTGGTGTTTCGGACTATCGCAAATTTGCAGTATGCTTACCCTTTGAAACCACAACGGGAATAGCTAGCCTTACTTATGTTATAGCTTTGATGATTATAAACGGCTGTGCTTTTCTAACGCTAATGGGTTGTTACTTGAAAATGTATTGGGCTATACGAGGTTCGCAGGCTTGGAATACCAACGATTCACGTATAGCCAAACGCATGGCTCTGCTTGTTTTTACTGATTTCCTATGCTGGTCTCCTATTGCGTTCTTTTCTATTACAGCTATATTTGGATTGCAACTGATTTCGTTGGAACAAGCTAAAATCTTTACTGTCTTCATCTTACCATTAAACTCTTGTTGCAATCCCTTTCTCTACGCTATCATGACAAAGCAATTTAAAAAAGATTGTGTTACCTTATGTAAACACTTTGAGGAAGCTCGAGTTACTCGAGGAGCAGCTGGTTTGACGAGGAAAGGAATTGGAAGTGAACGCCTGCCTAAGGAATTACCTCCCCTTTTGCCCGTTGTACATCCACCTGGATGTCGTTGCTTGCGTATGATGCCAAGTGAAATGCCTAAGTGGCATCGTATACAAGAAAAACAAGGTTCGTCATGGTCCCGTTCGTGGAAGCGCTTATTCCGTTACTGCTCATGTTGTGTTCGCTGCTGTCAGAAATCTCCTGCACACAATTTGGAAAGCCGCAGATTGAGGGGCACGCGAGGTCAGAAAACTGATTCTTATCAATATCAGTTTGCCGAAATTAAGCAGAGGAAGCAAATGCGTGCTAGTTCTATTTCAAGTGAGAATTTTTGCTCTTCCCGCTCATCTAGTTGGCGTAATGGAGCAGCTTCAGGTTCGCAAAATTTGGGACATGGCCATGCACACACGTGCAATATACCTTTGAAATTAATGGATACCAATCGTCGAAGACACTCGGCTTGGTTAATAACAAGGAAAACTTCACAAGACTCTAATTTGTCCTCCTCACGTAATGACTCTTCAGCTTCTGCGACCACAGCCAGTACAAGCACCTTTCGATTGTCACGATCGAGTGGTGGCAGCTCCACGCCCTTGCCAGCTATCATAAGTAAATCGTCTATAATGAAATTTTAGCCACCAATTAAATGCATTTTTTCTTTTTTTTTACTAAAGCCCATAGTAATAAGACTCAAGCTCACCAGTTTACCTCAACAGTATCCAAGCCCCGCTTGGTACGCCAAGAAGCCGTACAAGAGGAAGAGGATTCTTCCCCTCCTCGCTTGGGCGTAAGATTTCTGCCTACTATACCGTCGGCAGCTGATAGTTCGGTTATTATGGAGGATGGAGATTCTGGCCTGAATCCGGCTCTTAGTAGTCTCTATAACGCTTTGCAGGCCAATAAAATACTTTCCCTCGGATCGGGTACTAGTCATCGCAGTTCAACGCCTACTACGCCAACGATGACAACCTCTTCCACACCGCCATCCGCCATGTTACCGTCCAAAGATCATCAACCGCCATGATGAGCCGTTAATTTACGAGATGCTTTAACAGCACTTCTTTCCAGAGGTAGCACGGAAGAGTTTTTGTAGATAAACAAACGTTCGACAAAGTTCAAGTTAAACTTGATTAAGTTCCACATTGTCAATCGTTTATTTTATTCACTTCGCCTATCTTAATTTCGATATGTTGCAAAGTAACCAAGAAGTATTAATCATAATTGTAGTTACAGATATTTGTTTACTCATTAATTTAAACCATGAGAAAGAATGCTATTTTTCGCGTATGTAAAAATTTGTTTATATATATATATATATATATATATAGTATATATATATGTATATTTATTAACCTAAATATAGCTATATGTATATGTTTCTGAGAACTTAAGCCCACAATAAATAACCCAAAAACCGTGACAGAAAAGCAGATAAAAATTAATTCTCAGACTTATATTTGTATATTTATTTTACGTAATTTTAAGGCAACGGGAAATAAATACTACGTGTATACGTTCTAATCAGTTGCGGGCTCTCAAACTAAAAAACTCAGCTGTAAAGCTCTTGCGTAGTGTCGGTTTCTTCTTCATCGTCAACATTAACAAAATTTCGCAAACCGCATTGGTCAGGCATAACGATGCCGAAAGATGGGTTTTCAATTAAACGTACTTGTTTACCGGTTACACGTCGCCTAGCTATTTCGCGAAAGATAAGAATCAAAGCCAAAACACATATAGCAAATAAAATAATAGCTATAGCTGCAATCGTCCATCGCGAAACCGAAACGCCGCTATAGGGGAAATAAAATTATTTCGGACTATCTCAAAGATTTCCGGCTTCACTCAAATACTTGCCTCTTCATTAAACGCTCTTTAGATAGATCGTCGGGTAGACACATGCCTCGCAAAGCGTTATAAAGCCAAGCCTCCGGGCAAACACACTCCGTGGATGACACACAAGACCCACCACGACAATTCCATTCATTGCAAAAGCCGACGCAGCTAGGGAAACCTGTGTCTGGATCCATTTGCAGAATATAGCCCGATTCACAATTGCACATATTCGGACCAACGCAAACCCCATGGCCGCAAGATTGTTCACAAACCGGTTCACACTCTACGGAGCTACCGTTGAGAAAACGATAACCGTCTAAGCATTCACACAGATTGGGTTGACGACATTCTGCGTTAATGCATGTCTGCTGACAAGTCGGTTGGCAACGGTGAGAAGCGCTCGCATTTGTAACCTTAAAGCCGCTGTCACATTCACACATGTTTGGTGCTACACAACGACCGTTTTCACATAGTGGACGGCAGCGGGCTATACACAAGTTGCTGCGCTTGGTGTCTTCGTAACCCTCCCAACATTCACAGGTGTTAGGTTCTACACACTTGCTGTTTATGCAAGGCAATTGGCACACGGGATCACATATATTCTTGATGCCTTCACGCATACGATACCCCTCGTAACATTGACATACACCACCAGCTGCACACATACTATTAACACATTTCTGCGAACAATGTGGTTCACATTTGCCAGTCATCCAGAAGTATTGATGACCTGGATCACAATTACACAAGCCAGGAGCAATACAGCGTCCATGACCACAATCAAAATTGCAAACGGGATCACATTGATTCGCGTAAAGTGCATTTGGTTTATAGCCGGAAAAGCAGTGGCAAGTATCTGGGGCTGTGCAAGTTCCATGCCAGCAGGGTTTCGTGCAAACTGGTATGCAGTAATAAAATAGCAATGATTGATAGCCATGATTACAAGTGCATATGCCTGGAGCCGTGCAATTACCATTTTTGCAACCTTTAGGGCAGTGAGGTACACAGGCGAATTCATTCTCTTCAATTTTAATAAAACCATCATTACATTTACAAACGTTAGGAGCTGAGCAAAAACCGTTTACACAACGTTTATCACAAACCGGAGCGCAACGATGTGACTCAACTTTTTGATAGCCTTCATGGCATTCACAAAGTTCTTGTTCATTGCAAAATCCGTTTTCACAATCCTTGGAACACGTGGGCTCACAGGACGACTTTGATCCATTGCGAAAGACATAGCCTTCAAAGCAAGTACACTCGTTAGGTGCTGTGCAAAAAGCATTAACACATTTATTATTGCAAACAGGCATGCAACCAAGCGAGATATCATTCGCGAAGTTGGCATAACCTCGTCGGCAAATACATATTTCTGGGCGTTCACATATACCATTTGCGCAGCCGCTGGTACAAGTAGGCCCACATTTTCCTAAGCTACCCAAATCCAAGACATAGCCAGGATTACAAGTGCATTCATTAGGCTTATTACAAACGCCATTTTCACAAGGCTCTTCGCATATAGGCACGCAACGGCCTAACGTCTCATTGCGGACGTAACCGTAATTACAATTACAAATATTATGAGCATTACATAAGCCATTAGTACAATCGACGGAACAATCGACATCGCAGATCGTCCCACTATCGTTGCGCAGTTTAAAGCCCGGAAAACATGTACATTGCTCAGGACCCGTACATACACCGTTTATGCATAACGTGCATGAAGGCTCACAAATAGAACGATTGCGTAAATTACTGTAGCCTTCTGAACACATGCAAACGTCAGGTCGCAAACATGTCCCAGTTTTGCAATCGACACAAGAAGGCGTGCAGTTGCTGAAAGAGTGAAAATAGTAGAAAGCTAAGCTAATGAAATCTACAGAACTTTACCCGGTGCTGGGATTTCTTGTATAACCCTCACAGCAAACTTCCTCCATATCTGTGTAAGTTTCACGTACTGTGCGCAAAACTAGTGGGTTATCCATTGTTTTACAATCACTGCCTTCTGTGCAGTTAGTTAAGCTTAATGGGTATTTACGCATAGTTACCAAAGCGACACGCACTTTGGTCGTTCTAGATCATGGACGATTTACATTTCCAGTTATATTTACTACCAGTTAAAACTTATCGTACTTACGGCACTTTTTCTGTACAACTCCAAAGAGAACCTATCCATCCTACCATCACCAAAAATAATATTATTATTAACTTCAACATCTTTTATACGGTACGAAAATATTTTTCTTCTTGTCTTACAAAACTGTTTTTATTTACTGTTTCATTTGAATTGATTTCAAGAAAAAAATTTGAATCTTTTTTCCATATTCCAAGACACTTTATCTGTTGCTGGTCTATGGTGTTGTTTCTGTGCATTCGGCTTATCATATAGCGCAGGGTTGTGCTTATTGCATTTGATGTGTCTATGTCTTGCAGAGAAAAAATGCATTGAACTTTTTCTCAGAGATAAGTGCTTATACTATTTAAATATAAATGTTTTGCATACAACGCCACAGGTTGAAAGGAATGAGGGACAAATAAATGACTCAAATAAGTCATTGTTCAAGCCAAAATAGATTGTCTAATTTAATAATTCATTAATCTGAAGAATTTTCAACTACGTTTCATGCTCGATAAGAAGAAAGCAATTAATTAGTTATGATTTTTATCTTCGTTTTGAAGTAACTTTTAATAACCATTATAACCCATTAATAATCAATTTTTCCTATAGGTTATAATGTTCACAAATGCATATTAGAGCGTGCTCCTTGATCAGCGGCGGTCATCATTAAGTCATAACTTTGCCATTTATGGCAATTTTCATTGTCCTAAAGTAGTGATAGCTTGAGTTGAACTTTTAGAAAAACGAGTTAATGAAGATCCATACGAGAAGTTAAAAAACTGAATACAAATACTTACCAAAAAAAAGTCGTACATAGGTCTGTGTAGTTCTATAACATACAGAATTCAAACAATTCTGCATAATCGAGTCAAAATTGAAAAGATTCGAAGTTTTTGTTTTATAAATAAAAAGAATCTTGCCAATGGTAGACGAAAAACACTTGTTATTACAATAGAAAAAGCGAAAAAAAGACAAAATATATATATTACTAGTTTATTTAGAAAATTACATTTTATTTTACTTCAAGACATTCAGGAGTTTTGTAGTGTGCTTTCTTTTCTTCTTATTTTGAAGTTAAAGCAACGACGTGTTTTTTTGGAACAGGAAACTCAAGTTGGAGAAGCTAGTTTTGTGTAAGTTTTTATCGAGTTCTGTATATTAGAATGCGACAAAGATGTCACTAATATTTTAGATATTATATGAGATATACTGCCCAAGCTTTACTCCTAAATTTACCGTAAGGGGTATATAATTTCGTCATATCTTTATTGTTGCAGCTGTTACAATAAAGCAAGCATGGAACGATTTCTAAATTTCTTGGAATCACGATGCCTTTAATTATATCACATTCATTGGAATTCATAGTATGCGCGCCACATTTCTTTCGCAGTGATTACTGACCTTTAATCCAAGTTTGCTTGAATTGTTATTTATTTACTCATGTGTTGTTTTTCATTTGGATTTATACAGTAGGAATTCATTGAGTGGATAAGTGATAAAATATTTATACTATGAGAATTTGTTCTTTTTATTTAGCTTTTTACAATTCTATATTTTTCCGCGCATTATGACACATTCATATTAAAAAAAAAAAAAAAAAAATTCAAAAGTTTCCCTTTTATGAAACAAGACAAGGCGCCAAACGTTTAAATATGATAAAGCACTAAACAAAGGCGGATTAGTAATCATTAAAATGAGCCCATATTGATAGTCGTAGTGAACCATTACAGATCGTTATAGATTCGAGAGAGCATTTATTGCAATTTTTTCCTTTACAAGGAGTCCCTAATTACGCATTTGCTATACACTTACATATATAAATGTAAATAACAAATGTTTGCTTGTGCCATATCGTCTATAACGATAAGACCGTTTTCTTCTACTTTTCTGAAATCCCATATAAAGAATGGCAGAGAGCCGTATCAACGGATGTCTGTTGCGTAGAATACAAAATGAAAAGAAGAAAAAAATAAAAAGTAACAAAAAATGCAAACAAGGGAATGAATTTAATGGAGAAAAAACGAAGCCTAATACAAAAGAAGTATGAACTCAGCATTTATTAAGTTAATGTATTTCGCATCAGTTTTGCAAAAATTGAAAATCAAACTATAGTTGTATTTGAACATTATAGCTTGAAAGTCGTTTCATGTAGAGTTGATTTGAAAAATAAAAAAGAATATTAAGTCATGTTAATATTAAAACTTACGCTTTCATTAATTCACATTTCATTGGCATTCGCTCAGATATGCACTAAACAAGTACGGCGATCCGCTGTAGTGGTAGCCACATTGAACGGCAAACAAGTAACACAGGTAAAAATGGGACTGAAAGAGAGTAGGAGAGAGTGAGAGAGAGAGGGGGAACGAAGGAAATATGTCAATTAAAGGAAAAAGAAAACCGTGAAAGATAAAACACAGAAAACTTCTGTATTCCATTGTAGTAAGATAGTAGTATTGGTGTTGTTGCTGATTATGACGGAGACACGCGTAGTCTGAGTACATTATCATCTTTAAGCAACTCGCGCATGTACGTAAGAGTAAAAATTAATGACATAGAAATATTACTGGCTAAATATATGACGAGTATAATACGGAAGCGAATTTTTTATCATAAACAAGCGAGCTTTTAAGAGTGATTAAAATAGATAATGCAACAATATGAGGCTTATTAAGCAAGACTAAAAGTTAATAATTCAATTCCTGGCTTTCTTAAGCATAAATGATGCTGTTAAGCTTTTTAACATCCTTTGATATTCACTGTGATTATAACTATTGAAAAGTCAATAAATTAGCGCTTACTAAGTATCAACCTTAAAAAGTAAGGTCCCGCGAAAAGGCCTAATATTCCCAACTATTCTGCTATTTTGCATATGAAGTGTTTTTCAGACTTGAAGCTATTGCTGAATAAATGAAATGAATTGTATCACTTTGTTTAGATGCGTTATATACCGAAAACTGTAAAATTTTGCTGTCCGGGTTACAAGAATTTCAACAAAATGTGCATTCCGCATTGTGAGAAAGTTTGTGTGAACGCCAAATGTGTAAAACCCAACCAATGCGAATGTTTTCCTGGCTACAAAGTATTCAGTGAAGTACAAAAGTACCGGTAAGTAATCGAGAGTAGGTAATGATGAAATTATTGGTAATCATTTTATGCTTAGTTGCGTTCCCGAATGTGGCATATGTGAGCATGGCTTCTGCAGTGCTCCAAGGAAATGTACTTGTTTCTCAAACTATGAATTGCGCGCTGGCATATGTCAACCTATTTGCAATAACTGTGAAAATGGTTCTTGTAAAACGCCCGGAAAATGTGAATGCAATGTGGGCTACGAAATGTCAATTGAAAACAAATGTGAACCTCACTGTAATAACCAATGCTTAAACGGTCATTGTGTAGCTCCGGAAATCTGTGAATGTGACAAAGGGTACGAGTTAACCAAAAATTCCAAATGTGTGCCAGTATGCGAAAATCGTTGTTTGAACGGCAACTGTGTGGCTCCTGACGTATGCGAATGTAAGAAGGGTTATAAAATGTCATCTGAAAATGTGTGCGAACCTGTATGTGAAAGCGGTTGTCCCTACGGCCTATGCATAGGACCCAATAATTGCACTTGCCAAGCCGGCTATGAAAAGGTTTCCGCTTCAACCTGCGAACCAATTTGTAGTCCACCTTGCGAGAATGGTAATTGTATTGGACCAAATGAATGCGAATGCATCAGCGGCTACCGAAAAGAGAAAAATAATACTTGTGAGCCCTTTTGCAAAAATAACTGCATTAACGGCGTATGTATTGCCCCTGAAACATGTCAATGTTCTCAAGGTTTCAAAGAAGTAAATCCTTACGCATGCGAAGCTGTCTGCACAGGGGGATGTCCGAATGGCGTTTGCACAGCGCCGAATACTTGTGAATGTTTGCCAGACTATAAATTTTCTACGGAAAATATTTGTGTTCCCATTTGTCCAGAAGATTGCCTTAATGGATACTGCGGGGCGTCGGGAGTGTGTGAATGCAATTCTGGTTATGTGCTTGCGTTACCTAACACTTGTGAGCCCTTTTGTGAAAGCGGTTGCCCAAATGGTAAATGCGTTGCACCGAACATGTGTGAATGTCTACAAGGATACAATATGGACAGCAATTTCTGTCAGCCTGTATGTCAAAATGATTGTACTAATGGTTTATGTGTCGCCCCAGACACTTGTGAATGTGATGCTGGTTACACTAGGTCTACTGAAAGTGTTTGTGAACCAATTTGTAAAGAAATCTGTCAAAATGGTCGTTGCATTGCGCCAGATTTCTGCGAATGTGACATGGGCTATCGTCTAATATCTCCTAGCGTTTGCGAAGCTGTCTGCGACAACGGTTGCAAAAACGGCCAGTGCGTCTCTCCAGACAGCTGTGTATGTGACGCCGGCTATTCTCTGACAACATCAGGGACATGCGCACCCATTTGCATGGGGGACTGTTCCAATGGCGAATGCATAGCACCCGGCGAATGCATTTGTAACAAAGGTTACACAGCGAATAACAGTTGCATATTTAATTGTATCGGTAATTTTTGCGAACTGGCCTGCCATTGTCAGCCTGTTTGCGGAAATGATTGCCCGAATGGTAAATGTGTGGCACCTGATACGTGCGATTGCCTTTTGGGATACTTTAAGTCTGCGTATAACGTATGTGAGCCGGTATGTGACCATGAATGCTTAAATGGAAAATGTGTGGCGCCAAATACCTGCGAATGCAATTTGGCTTATTTTAAGACATCCGCTTATGTTTGCGAACCTGTTTGTCAAGAAGATTGCATTAACGGTGAATGTGTTCTTCCTGATACCTGCGAATGCTACCTAGGTTATGAACTATCAGCAGCGAACATATGTGAACCCCTTTGCCGAGATGGTTGTATTCACGGCAAATGCATTGCTCCCGATACTTGCGAATGCAGCACTGGATATAAGATCGCAGAGGAATCCAATATATGTGAACCCATTTGTGAGAGGAATTGCACGAATGGTAATTGCGCTGCTCCGAATACCTGCGAATGTTTTATTGGTTACAGGAAGTCTTCCCAATTTGCCTGTGAACCCGTATGCTCGGAAACATGTCTTAATGGGCGTTGTGCAGCTCCAGAGAGATGCGAATGTAATGAAGGTTTTCAACTAAACACTTTGAATGCATGTGAGCCAGTTTGCATTACAGAATGTCTGAATAGTTTTTGCATAGCTCCCGGAACCTGTGAGTGTTACAAAGGCTACTCAGAAGTCTCATTGACTGAATGTGCACCTATTTGTCAACCTGAATGCGAGAACGGGAAATGCGTAGCTCCTAACATTTGCGAATGTTACGACGGTTTTTCTGAAATTTCAAATAACCAGTGCAAACCATTTTGTCAGGAAGAGTGTTTGAACGGTAAATGCGTCTCTCCTAATATATGCGAATGTTTTCAGGGCTTTGAGCTCAAGGAGAGCTTTATTTGCCAGCCTATCTGTGAGCCCGGGCTTACACTTAACAATGACATTCAATGCATTCCTGAGTGCAACGAAACCAATTGTCAAAACGGTCGTTGCCTAAGCAACGGAGCATGTCACTGTTTGGACGGTTACGCAAAGAAATCAAACAGTTTTTGCGAACCTATTTGCGAAGAAGGTTGCAAGGATGGTCTTTGTGTGGGTCCGAACGAATGCGAATGTAATGAAGGGTATCGAAAAAATTCGAATAACAAACAAAGATGTGACCCCATTTGCGACAGCGGTTGCGAACAAGGCGTTTGCTTTCGACCTGGCTTATGTAAATGCAATTCAGGCTATCAGCTACACGATGATGTATGTAAGCCTATTTGTACAAATGATTGCAAACACGGGATATGCATTGCCCCCGAAGTATGCCAATGTTTAGAGGGTTTTTTGAAATCAGAGGAAGGAATTTGCGAACAGCCGTGCCGCGCGGATTGTCAAAATGGCTTTTGCAAAGGAGCAGAACTCTGCGATTGTTTACCAGGCTACATAATGTTGGAAACTGTGGGAAATTGTGTAGCTAGCTGCGTGCCAGAATGTATTAATGGTGTGTGCACTGAACCAAATAAATGCCAATGTTTACAAGGCTACACTCCCGCCAACAACGATTCCAATCTATGTGTAGATGAAACGATTACTACTACATTGCTGGCGGAGAACTCTACGCCTCGACAGAATTTTTTTGAATTTGAGTGCTTCCGCACATGTGTGAACGGCACTTGCGCTTCCGGCGTTTGTGAATGTGCACAAGGTTTTAAGCTCTATGAGGACGACACTTGGTTATATTGTTTGCCTATTTGCAATTATCCTTTAGGCTGCAAAAACGGATATTGCTTTAGTCCTGAAAACTGTCAATGTTTCGACGGTTATTCTTTTCATCCTGATCAGCCTTACGAATGTGTTATTAGCTTCAACGATACCCACAACGAACTCTTCGTTTCGCGTTTTAAGTTACTTTGGACGTTTGCTCTAATTTCTCTACTCTTAGCCGTTATTGTATTGCTTGTCATGTTTTATTATATTCGTAGAGTCTCTTACAATGTTGATAAGAAAGGTGCCTATCAACAAACTAGGAGATTTGTAATAGCGTCCTTAATGGTTTGGTTTTTCTTTTCTTTTTAGAGAATGAATTCGGTCTGGTGAAGTTATCGCAGAATGCTGATATAATAAGATCCCCCAATAACGTATAGTTGTTTAGCAAGGATTTTTTTTCTTTAACTCTTTGTGCTGTGCTGTTGTTTCGAAAAACGGATATTTATTACATAGAAGCAAAATTAATCGATATAAATGCATCCTTCTAGTTAATATATGTATGTTTATATGTATATATGTATTCAATACACCATAATGTGACTACGGTCCAAAAAATGTTCGCTGTAGTACTCAGGAGTACCTGAAACAAAAAGGTGAATATTAGTTTTAAGACAATATTTAAAAAACACTTGAAGAATTGACTTAAAAGACTTAACGCAACTTTTTCGATAAGAAATTTTTAAACGCAATACGCTTTGAAGTAAAGATGTTTTTAAGGAACATGAATGGCGTTGCAACGTACATAATATATTTATTCACTTATGTATCTGTTCATTATTATAACGATTTTGATTAACGAGTCGAAACCTACTTCAGCTAAATGAGTTCCATTCTCAAAACGTATATAGATCGCATCAGCTTAACTTTAAGAATTAAATATATGGACTAAAATTCACAATTTTGTATCCATTCTGTTCAACTACATGGTTCTATTATCTGGCCTTACAACTTATGAAAATTCTTAGGGCAGGCTTCAAGATAAGCTAAACATTAGTCGCAATATTTTTTTTTTTTTAATTTTAAAAAGCGCGAACCTTGCAGTGGTGGTTTGTAACCAGCCATTTCATGAAAATACGATTTGAAACTAATGTGACAAAGGCTTGCACTACTGCTTACCGCTCTTCGTAAAAAAATTTAGCAGTGAGTAGAAAAGTCTTAACGGCTAAATTTAATATACTGAATATATTGTTTGCATCTTACCAAGAGACGCCGAACATATGCAAGTACCAGCCTAATTATAATTTCATTGCAAAACTGATGTGTTTACATTTATTAAAACCGTTATGATTTCTTTAAAAGTTTATAGTTTTATTTGTATGTGTCATAGGACGGATGTTCAAGGTTCTCACTCATTTTTTTGCTTGCATCTTTTGGAAGTCGTTAAATGAAAGGATATATTTATTCATTCTCATCCCAAGTTTAGTTTTTTAATACATCTGTTACAGTTAGTGTATAGGCAGCCTTGGAAAATAGTTTTTGTTATCGAATGTAGCAAAATCGCACAGTTTCTTATTAAAATAATATAACTACGGATGTGCCTTGAATACTTTCGATAATCGTAATATTTTAAAAGTTTCAACGGCGGTGAAGCTTGCTTTGACTTCCTTATAATGGCGAAGCTCTGCTGTTTTATTTTTGGCAGTGTTATTTTTTTTAAAATGTTAATGTCCTTTTTTGTACTCATTTACCATCTCATTTACTATGTCGCGAATCCACAGGTCATCATTGTTGGGATATTTCCACGAAATTTGTTAGATTGACGTATTGTGGCCGGAGGACAAATCCTATTGAAATTAGACGACATCGTGGCATTTAAAAATAACCGTTATATGCGAAAAATCAAGAATTTTCAAAACTCTTCAACAAAAATCCCTAAATAGTTAATTAATTAAACCGAACTGTAAAATTTGGATTGGATGTTCGTTCATTGAACTTACTCCCATACATCTGTTCCAAAGGCTTTTTTATGGGAACAAAGTTTTCTTTTTAATATTTTATATTGAAAGATCATTCAATGTAATGAACGTAAGCCTGTAATCGCCAAAAAATTGATTTTTTGGTGCTTTATGACAAAAATAAGGAAAAAGGCTTCGACAGTTTGTACAAACAACAGACCCACAACATGTTGGACAAACAAGCTCAAGTTGATTCAGAAAGCCACGCTGAATCGATTGGTATAATGAATGACGAGTCTCTCTGACATTCTTCTAGAAGTCGCATACAACCCCAAAGTTAAAAGCCGCGCAAGGCGTAACGAAATAAGAAAGTATAGAGTACATATAAGAATATCTCAGAAATGGTATTCATTGTTAATTATATTTTAAAAAACCATTAACAGTGCTCTTAGTGAGTTTGTAAGCATTTAGAGACCGCCCTTACGTAATAGAATGTTTCGATTTGAAAGGTGCCTGCCCAATATAAAGGCGAAGTTACGTTCCTATCTGAGATACTGAAAGAATTTAAACAAGTCCGCATGATCCCTTAAAACACCGTAGTGGACAGCCAGATGAAATAGAGGCTGAAAATGTATGATCTAGCAGACATAATAGATATTTGAAATAGTTCTGCGCATTTCATATTAACCGAAGATTTGAACATAAAAAGTCTATAGGCAGCATGGACACTCCTTTTGCTCATAATGCACCAAAAACACTGTTGGCAGGATGTTTTAATCGATTGTTTGTGGTAATGCAAAAAGAAGAATAAAGATCGGTTTCAAAGAAAGTGAAAACAGTTCTATTTGTTGACAGGCTCATTAAGGCAGTTTTTGGAATGCGCCTACTAAAACGTTAATATTCTAACTTTAGGACCGACGGACGAATAGCGTTGCATCAATTCAGGAAAATAATTTTGGTTTAGCGAATATAATAAAAGATGGCTCGGTCTTAACATCCACAAAAACTTAATATATCCTTATCACATGTGGTTTTGAATATAACAAAAAACAAAAACACTGTGAAGGCAAGAAGATCAAGTGCGCGACTATAACGTTGTAACCTGTGTTCGTCCATAAGATTGCTGAAATAAGTGCCTAAAGGGTTATTACTCCAACTGACTAAGGTAGCAGACGGGAGATATTTGTTGACTATAATAAGCGGATGACCAAATTACTTAATTACGTGTTATGTCCACATAAATCAATCCATAAGTATTTAGCGTATAATATGTATACTTATACGCGTTATATTTATATACGTATACATATACTACTACCTTAGTTTTTGAAAAATTTTGCGGAAGTTGGGCGATATGAAGAATTTTTCTTTGCTGCGTGTGAGTATACGCACAAGTTTGCACTTACCTGGTATTCTATTAAATTGTAATTGCCTTTGACGATAGTATCTTATATGACTTAACATCAATACAAAACCGCCAATCATGATCAAAAGACAGATAGTAATTAGAACGCACCAAATATTCAACCAGCTGGGAATTTGCAATTTACACAGAGGACTTTCAGTGATATTATCCTCAAAATTGGCTAACAAGTTAAATAATGTTGTTTCGGTAGTTGTCGTGGAGGTGCTGGTGTTATAAGGCATCTTAATAGCTCGCATATTTGACTGATGTAAATCTCCTTTCATGGTTTTAGACATAAATGCCATTTTAAATTAAGAGACAATTCTTTTTGAATGTTATTTATATACTTAAAGAAGGAGCAAGAAACGTTTAATATCTGCAACCGTTTTTAACGTAATGGTTTCCGTTTTTATTTTTAAGTCTGAAAAGAACATGTGCCCGATGGTTTGTGGTGGAGATGTAGCGTTGCCTGTATGATGGTTTTAATCAAGACTTTTATAAATAGTTTTTTTTCTTTATTTTGAAAAGAAATAAATTGAAATTATCAGAACTTTTTCTACTGAATGTTAAAGTCATAATAACAATAAAATGGGTTGGAAATTTTTTATTATTGTGAAGATATTTTTCCATTATCAATCACTTTGGCATATCAAGTAAGAGTAGTGTAATAATTATTTTTCTTTTTGTATTAAGGTGCCGTAAAATTTTTATGAATTAAAATGAAATTCATGTTTTTTATATGGAGTATATATACGAATTCTTCAAACTTAGCTTATTTCTAAAGATTATTATAATGAAAAACAATAATGCAAATATTATGCAACATAGGCCTATTAAAAAATAAAATGTAAGGTACTTTTCATCAACCTTACTTGATTCTTTTTCCAAATTATTGACATCTTCAAAAGAATACAGAGTTCTTAAGAATTTATATTGAGAAGTTTTCTCACATGTTTTTTGTTTGCCACATTGATAACCTTCAGGGCAGAAGCCCGGGCAGCCCGAAGTATTCCCTGTTTGCGGTATAGGCACGCAGTTATTGGATGATAGTGAGTTCGTTTCAAACATGTATCCTTTTTTACAAACACATTCGTTCAACTCATCGCAGTAACTAAAAGGACGGCATAAGCTGTCATTGCACTCCTTATCTGTTATAATGAGGCGGCAGTCCCTCTGATAATACGTATATCCTGACGGACAAATTAATGAAGTAACATCATAATCATTCCTTCCCGGATTTAGTTGATTAATATTTTCTATTTTTTGTGTTGCGAGCTCATTGATTAATTCAAGTGGACGTGCAGACGTGTAAGAAGCTTTGTTTAATTTTGAGTCTTTCGCTTTAATGCGGTTAAATCTTTCTGCTGCGGCACTCGTCTTCACAGCATCTATTTGGTGATTGCTTGTAGAAATATTTGAAGCCGCATTCAAATTTAAATCGTTTGTTTTACTTCCAGTTAGATTCGCATCAGTTTTTTTAATTACTTTAACATTATTCGGTGTTCGTGGTAGAGCAGCATTGTCCTTAGATTGTTGCTTAACATTGTTTAGGGCTGTGTCTGCCGTCGGGAAACCTTGCATACATTTTACAAATATCAAAATTATATTTATAATTGCAAAGAATTTTTGCATTGTTTTTTAAAAACTTTAACTGGAGAAATCTGATGGAAGAACTAAACGGAATGGTTAAAAGTCTTACTTTTGCAGTCTTGCAATTCAACGCTGCTTTAAATATTTATTAGTTTGAGGTTTGTTCTGGACTGTTTTATCAAAACTTGCGGTCATTCGTTTGCACATATAATTTCGTTACACTATTGCGGACAAATAAATAAAACTATGTTAGCGATGGGTCGAATGTTGAATACCCATCATCTTAAAAAGCGTGGATGGATATTGACCATTAAACTTGGAAAATTTAATCCAGAACATGCCTCCTATTCGTGATCGTCACCTTTTGCGTCTCGAAAAATAGACGCATGAATACGCGTAGAAATTAAGCAGGAGACGAATAAACCGGCCAGTGCATAGATGAATTGTATGGCGCATAGAGGTATGCATTAAGCGAGCGGATAAAATGAGCGGACCAAGCGGCAGACCTGTAAAAAGATCCAAAGAGCGTATATAAACGCAAAAACGGAGAGTGTTGGATAGATACGCAGGTAGAAAGATAAGTAAACGATTGAGTAGGAGGAAACTAATGACACGCAATGAATGAATAAGTGCACGGACAAACACTTAATTAATTTTTCAACATACAAATGAAATACTAACGTTATTAAACATAAATCCCTCTTGGTTTTTGCTACTTAAGGGCCAAGGATTTTTTTTGGCGAAGGGCCACGATGGGGTATGTCGATCGTTATTGCATAAATTGTCTACGTAAAAAACGCAAGGCTTGTAAATTGCCAAGATATCGTTAACTCACCCCGAACTATTTTGCTGCTAAAATTACAGACAGTCTATTAAGTGGCTTGCGTATATCAGACCAATGGAACAGAGTTTTTGTTGCAAGCTATCTACTTTAAGAAGCAAGCGATGAACCATTCAATCACAGAGTTTATTAGCAGATTACGTCTCCCTTTCTAAAGTTGACTTATCAAAATAAGCAGAGGACTGTGTGTCAGGTTTTACCTACATCTATCAATAAGGAATGGAATCTCATATTGATTAATGATGTACTACTACATATTATCCATCGGCATATAATTTTAGTTTCTATAACCGCATTGTTAAATCTTTAGCCAGTAATATTATCAATAAAAAACTACCGATATATGTGTTAAATCATGCATGCGTATATTCTCTTTATGTCACATTTTTTCATTTATTTGTTTATTTTTTTTTTTGAATTAAAGAAATTGTTTTTTACTTGACTGAATTAAGATTTGTGAACGGTTTTAATAAATTTTTTTATATTTCTTCTCAGTGATTTTTTGTTGCTTTATCAAGTATTTCTAAATAAATAATAAAAAAATAGTTAATGAAAATAAAAAATTTTCGGTAATTACTGTATGCTGTAGTTTTCCTTTTGCAGAGAAGAAATTCAGCAATTTTCTTACAGATTCTTATGAAAAACATTTACTTAAGACTAAATAATTAGTAGACATTTTCTATGATTTGAATTAGCGCATCAGCCTCAACTTAAATTAATTTCTTGTAAACTTAATCAGTCTTCTTTAGAATTATACTGCCAGGATGATTCGTTATCGTCATCAATTTCATAATCTAGTTCGTTAAGACCGTGGGCTAATTTCTCCCCTACCTTTTCCATGAGCTGTTCCAAGTTCATGACAACTTTAATACATTTCCGTTGTTCGAGATCATATAATTGATCGCCTTGACATTGTATGCGTTCACAACGCAACGGACTAAACCACGAACTGACGTCTTTATAACCAGGACGGCAAGCACATTTATTACGAGATACACAAAAACTGTGGGCTGCCGGGCAACCACCCCCACACACTGGACGGCATTGTAGCTTTTGCATAGGCTTTTTAGATATGGATCGCACGTGATGATTATGCGATTGCTCGTATCCACGTTGGCATTCGCATTTATTGGGTTCTGCGCAGTAGCTGTTCGGCGGACACATATCTTGACATACCGGTTCACACAAGCCAAAAATAATTGTACGATAACCAGGACAGCAGATCCGCACCCTGTCCATACGCATACGATCTTCAAATTCGAAATAAGGTTCACTTAAATTTGAGTTTACACGCAAACGTGTTTTGGTAATGGCCACCTGATATTTAACAGTAACATTTTTATAACAATGACCAGTAGTAACGGTGAAGCCATCAACGTTAACATAGAAATATAAAAATTTTAATAGTAAAAACTTTGTAATATTTTTATTTAACATTTTTCCTTTCGCATCTGTAACTCGGCAGCCGTACCCAGCGCGTTCAGTTTATGAATGAATTTAAGACGGGTGAACTGCAGTTTAATAATTTTCCTCTGAACTATTAAAAAGAAAACAACATTCAGCTGATAATTGAGGATTACAGAGCACAAACTCAAAGAGGCATCCTATCAGTAATGCTATCTTCACAAATGGTCTGGTCTGGTTTGCTGATCATGCACTAGCAATAATCTCACATACAAGTACGCGTTAACAAGCTAAGATTATTTAATTGGCACAGTAACTAGCCGCCTCATCACATCAGTAGCAGTAGAGCGGTGTAGCAAATTTAGCGATAAAGTTTTTTCTTTTTTTTATAAAATGTTAATAATAAATAAAGTTATGCTCTCGGAGTGGTTTTAATTGAAAAAGTTAACCGGCTGAGTAATTTCCTGTTTATTAAAAGTCACTCATAATGTATCCGTATATGAGCTGAATTTGAAGCATAAATGATATCGAAATTTAATTACGTTGACTTACACTTTCTTGAACACTAAGCAGTTGATAATTTCCGAACTGAAAACAATGCAAAGAAAAGCTTGATTAAACTGATAAGAAATAAGTCACGTGAGTCAAAACAACCAATTAATTGAATAAAAGTAAATAATTAAATGATTCATCAAACGATAGTATGGAGGCTGTTAACTACCGAAGAATAACACGTTTCAACTGGCGAACATTTTGCTGAAAATAATGGATATCATCTACGTCGATTTTTGTATATTAGTTGATTCTAAGGAATATTTTACTGGTTTTGTGATCAATATATACTGTGATATGTGTATGCTAGTTTTTGCACATTGCAAGACAATATTGAACCTTTTTCGTTAATTTTTTTGCCGTGAACTTCCCAACGTTAAATAATGTGACGACCTGAAAAAACAGATCAACATATACGCCCAGGACGCGATGTACGACATCAATGCAAGTAATACTACTCTACTAAGCCTGTCGATTCGGTGAAGTATATAAATTTCAAAGTCGGTACAATATATTACGAAATTAAAATGCTTGATTGTAATATTATTTTCGCAAAAGAAACTGCGTGAAAATCAAGGAGAGAAAGCAGAATTTGATCTAACTCTATTACAGCTGATGTCACACGAGTCGATTTACGATTGCAAGTCATATCCACATTTTTACTTTATCTTCCACTATGCCCGGTTCATTTGATATGAACTCGATTTCTACAAAATGCTCATCAGCAGTATTTGCGGCGTAATTAAACTACGATTACATTGGATCATGCGGCACAGATAAATGCAGTTGAAGAAAATAAAAGCGGAAAAGAAGATAACGAAAGGGTGAACCGTATACAATAAGAATAACTAGGAAAAGTGAATATAAATTCCTTAACGAACAGCAGAAGGCAAAACATTAATAGTTCAGAAAAAAATTGTCAGCCTTCGGATTCACACTCAGAATTTTATGGTGATCAAGGTGGTGATCAATGGATTCATGGTGTACTTCTTTAAAGAATAGATATCCGAAAAATATGCTTAACTTTGGCTGAAAACGATCTTTCAAAAACTATATGCTATTTTTCACAAATGCAGAACCGCAAATGTAAAATGCTTCCTGCAAAGTAACGTTCAAATACATACGCCACATAATCTGTGCTGCATGAGTGATTGCGACAACGTGGCTTACTGATATCACAATATCGGCTTCTTTGCATAACTAATCTAAAATATGCCAGTGGATGCTAGAAGATTATTGAAATTAACAGAAACTATTCATGCAGCGTACAAAACTGTACAACTCGAGCACAATTGTTTTGTTTATCATAACTGACAATTTAACATGCCATGCTTAAGGAATAATATACATAATTTGTACATTTAAACAGTACAAGAACGTGTGCTAACAGTTACCTAGGTAGAGAAAATAGCCTATAAACATACGAAACATATAACAGACGTTCAGTCTTCTAATATTTGGAAATTCTCAAAGAATAGATTTATATATTAATATAGTTTAGAAGTTTAACTTCATTTGAAAGCTTCGTGAAGGCGTTAAATTCAAAGCTACGACAAACAAACTAGTCAAGTCGCCAGGAGATATAGATATTTTACCAAACTGTTTCCGCTATTTACTATAAAGGAAAGGTTAGAATTTTCGAAATCTTTAATTCACTCAACTAAAAGTGAAATTGTTGTTATTTTTATTGCTGTAACGATAAAGACATAATTATAAAATATTTTTATATTAGCTTTCAAGGTCAAAATGGCCATGAAAAACTTTAAAAGGTTAAAGAAAATTTTAATAAACCACTCTTTCAGTATGTATTGCTCGCTTGAACAGATTGCATTAAAGTGAAGAACAAAAAAAAAAAAATAATAATAAAATATTAATTATGATGTTTAAGCTTCTTATAATATTTCCAATAATAATCAGTAAATACTCGGCGAAAATGATATTCTGTGAAATACCGTGCCCCGGCCACGCAGTATGTATAGAAGAAAATAAATGTAGATGCATAGAAGGTTTTGAGCAAGCAATATCAAATGAAACAGGACGTGCGTATTGCTTGTACGTGCAGACAACCACAATTGTGACTGCACACGCAGGAACTGAAAAGTCTACTTTATTCACCGATTCCTTACCTGCTACTGTCCATGACGATAGCGAGCAACCGGAAAATTCCAAATATGTGCACGAAATGTTAACGTACAATGATCAAGTAACTAACAAGGAGATGACGACGAAGTCAGCTATCGCCAGTACATATCTAATGGAGACAACCTTGCAAACAGAAATTACAACCCCTAATAATTCTTCAACTTCCTCTTTTGATAAAAAGACGTCAAAAGTTTGTAATGGCATTAAAATATCCAGGGATGATCTTTATATTGCACTGGGCTTATTATCCGTAATTACAGCAAGCATTATTTTATGTGTTAATTTATATAAATGTTCCATGATTATGAATTATTCTATATAACTTAAGAAGAACCTAAACACGATAAAATAAATAAATAAAATTTTAATTTCTTTGGATAAGACAACGACTTCATCATACTTGTCGCATTGCGACATACGCCAAATCAAATTTTGTCTTTGTAATCCCTAACAAAATATGTGAGTATGGTCACTTCCTCATTGGATTCATAACATTCGGAATTTGGAATATATTTATATATATATGCATATATATATATAATCATAATATATAAATATATAATAATATATATATATATATAGAATAAATTTTTGCTTTTCCCAAGAAATAGATTTTTATGAATTTTTTGAAACCATTCATAATTTCTCCTTCTCTTTTATATTTTACACGCCTTGTGGTACAAGGGTATACTAAGTTTGTGCGGACATATGCAACATCCAGAGGGTCTTGAGATACCCACCTTTTATTATACCAATCCATTCAGGATCACTACCTAAATCAATTTAACCTTGCTTGTCCGTCTTGATGTTTCGTGCGCAACCTACACAATTTCGTCGCAATTTCTAGATATTTTTATGAAAGTTGGCACGCCCACGTATTTTGCTCCAAGAACGAACGCTATTGAAAATAGTTCCGATCGGACTACTTTCCGACCGCACCCCGCCCCCCGTGTTACTTTGAAAAGTCGCTATATGAATAGTTGAGTAGTGGAGGATATTTAACGGTGGGTCGTGTCCCCCTGTAGTATTTTTGCTTGTTTTATTAAAAACAAAAAGAAATTTATATGTAATTAGGCGCTTTTACTTTTTTTATTATGCTATTTCTCGTTGTGTGAGTGCCCAGAGCAAACGTTTTGATTTGCAACTAATTTTTATTGAATGACACTTTGAATGGAGAGGAAAAATATGGATGCGATTAAATCGATCATTTACTTTAGCCAATAAAATAGAATTTTGGAATCTAAGTGCGTAAATTAGTTAAATAGCGTAGATTTTCTCCTTCTTCAAATTAGTGAAACGGTTCAGTTTTAACCATCAAAAAATGCTTATAGTCTTACCTTTTATTGTGCACGTAAAGCATGATTTTTGAAGCCAGTAATTAAACACAGTGGAGTTAAATTTTCAAAAAATGCTCTTAGATCACTGTTTAAATGTATCACTCATATAGTCTTAGTCCCCTGCATAAGCACAGAAACAAGTCGACTTCGCTTCTTGCCTTTAAACTCGCAACCGCACGTTATTTAAAAGACTCGCAATTACAAACGACTTATATTTTCGTTGCTGCTGTGATAAAAACTTATCTGTCAGCTGTTAGATTGAGTTTAATACTAATGTGTACAATATGTAGGCATTATAATGTGTAATAATAGGAAAAATCCCCGATCGCATTTGAAAATATAAACATCATGTTTTATAATATTTTTCGTATCTTCAAGCTGAGTTAACTTACATAAATGAAGACTTAAATGTTGTTGTTTGTTATGAAACGGATACGAGTCATTAGAAACTTGGACTATGATAAAAACCCTTAATTAAATAGGAACTAGAAACGTTTATTTGCATCAGAAAGTAAACGCACAGTCTTATATCATACGCCATCCATTAACATTTAGAATTTCAATAAATTACCATGAAAGAGAGAAAGAGTACACAAATGAATGAATAAAAAAAAAGCAAAAGACAAGCAAAAATGAAATCTTTTATCCGTTTATCTGTAATAATCAGTGTTACGCAATTGTTGATTACAATGTCAAAAGCTCAGTGGTGTGTTAAAAAGAAGCATGTTGCAAAAACCCGTCTGCAATGGAATGAGGGCGAACGTATCATTACAAAGCGAGACTTCTTTCTTAGGACGAAATTGAGTCGAGTTCCCTACGTCTTCACCAGCAAAGAGGTAAGCGAAGTGAGAAAAAACTATTATCTGAAAGTAAGAAGTAAAATAAATATATTAAAAATTGAAAAAAAAAAACAAAAAAGAAATAGAAAATATTATATCGCTTGGTACGAATTTTTAACACCCAATATCTTAAATTAATACTCAAATGTTCTAGACTTGTTTTGTAGTTTTGAGTTCGCCAGCAAACCAATAGAGAAGTTTTGAAAGGATTTAAGTAACGCTTGTACAAAACTTTGGATTGACGGCTAGTATTGATTCTAAATAGGTTGGACGTATGTTAGCTTAATTTTTAGATGGTTCATAAAACGAAAAGCATATGGTTAACGGATACGGATCGACGTGCAATTAGATGGACATCAACACAATTACATGTGGAAAAAGGAAGGGAGTCATTTGGACGGATATGACGAAAAACTCTAAGGTAATTAATTCTATACTTGGGAATGTTACAAACGAGTCGATAAAATTACAATGTATTAGCCCTTCTCGTTGACGAATATATTCGTTGAAAATTCATAGCAAACTTCGTTTAAAAATCAACAAAACGAATATTATATTTCTATTTTTTTATATGTATTTCCTTTCGATTATTTTATCAAATTTCTATAATTTTATTTAGTAACTAAAAATTTTCATAATGGTTTCCTCAGTTCTTCTTTGAAATCTCTCAAACTAACTACATATAGCAACTACAGAAAGAGAAATGAAAGCATTTTCGTATATACGTTTCATAATTGCAAGCCAAATAATAAATATGATCGCGGCGGAATGGTGTATAGAAAGGAAACGCGTGCTACTTACACGACAGCGTTGGCAAACTGGTCAACGTGTAGTACCAAGACAACGTCTCTTTCATACCTCCTATATGTGGGTACCGTATCAGTATTCAACAATAGAGGTGAGAGAAAGCGTTTCACATATTCAAATAACATCATGAACAAGTGATATGAATCTCGAAATATGCGAACAATTAACGGATTATTTATGACACAATATTCTACAATTAATCGTATATAGTTTACAATTGTAACGATGAGAAGAAAAAGTTTTTAAAATATTTTTTCCTACGCCGAGATATAAAAGACAATACGCAATATCTTAAATGTGTGCTGAAAATTACATAAAAAAAAAATTTTTTTTTTCTTGATAAGCTTTTATAGAAGTGAACCAAAAAATCAGGGAATAAATTTTGCCCCAACCAGTTCTATAGACTACACATTAAAGCTAAAGTAAGTGGCGCTTAATACTTTAATGTGTCAGAAAGCTCTAAACTTTTATCTGCAGCCAAATGAAAATGAATTCTCCGTTTTCGAAAACTCTCATTCTGTTTATTTCGGTGAGTGCTTCATTATTACAAGAGTTCTTCCCAATTAGGCTTGTACAGTTTATTCTACTCCTCAAGTCCATTTATCTGATTCCCATATCTAGGCTGTTAGGAGAAACATAATCTGTTACTTTGTGGGGCCAACATTTTTATTGCACAGAAATTTTGATCGTACCGCATTGCAGTGTCAACGGCACGAAAGGCGTATGCAAACTTTCAGCACGATTTGATGTACAGAAGCGCCCGCAATATCGAGAAAAACAAATATATAATGTTTGCGTAAATGCATATATGTATACATAAATGCTTAATATAATAATAGAAATATGTAGAAAACTGCGTACGTAAGCGTTAAAGCCTAGTTTACAACACAACGTCATCGCTTGACAGCTCATTTTCCACTGCATGTCTATTAAAACAAAGTGAAAGTAAAATAAATAACAATAACTATTATAAAGTAATATTATAAAGTAATATTCTAAAGTAGTAATACTGATGACTGTAGTGATAATAATAATAATAAATTGTTTAATATCAGCGAACACCATTGAAATCACACATTTGTACATAAGTAAGAGCGTTCGGACTCTGAATACTGTTAACATTGGGAACAAGGTATTGTTATGACAAGTATATATTTAAAAAAATTGTTCTCTTCATCCAAAAATAGAAGGAAAAAAAAAGAAAGCGCAAATAACTAAAATGGTATTCTGCCACTCATTATTTGTCCAAAAATAAGATTCACATTACAGTTTGAATTAATAAAATTATTTACGATAAAATGAATGAATAATATAAAACCGTTGACATAACCAATTGATTTAAAGACCGCTTGCAACATTTTGTATTTACGTTACTCAAGTGTCATCGGTTTTCAAGACTCTTTTCCTTTTGTAGACGTGTGTGTGCGTATAATTTGCCATCAGTTTAGAGGGAAGGTTAGAGAGAAGTTCGTTAAAATATTAGAATGATAGACTTTGGCTAAATTTTGTCACTAGCAAACGCTGCCAACAACAACTGACCCAATACGGATAAAGTGCGCCAAGAGCGTGTTTTCTCGAAACAAAGATCTTATATAAAACTCTGCTGGAAAACTCTAGCAGCTCTGGATGTAGTGATCATCCTATTTAATTAACCAGTCACTACTCCTTCTGAGTAACACTGGTTTCAATCATTGACTTTATACCTGTTCGAGCACGGGAATTGAAACAAACACCAAGTATGAATGTTCCCTCTAGCCTTCAATTTCCGAAAACATACCAATAGACAAGTGGAAACAGATTTAATTGGTATCTGAAGTCTTTGCTCATGACAACTCTGGACATATATTTTATAAAATTAAATGATTTTTATACTTATCGCCTGTTGTATACTTAGTTTGTATTGACTTTGTGGAACATCGATAAAGATCTGAGGTAGATTTATCTTTTTTTGTATCGATCGCTTTAGAAATTGATTGATTGGTTTGTCTGCCTTGTCTGTCTTGTTTTCTTGTCTCCAACATAACAGTCGCAACTTTTGGGATATTTTGATGAAATTTAGAACATCGACGGTTGTTGGCCCTGAAAGGCAAATGAAAATAATAGGAATCGGACCACTTTTTCGGCCATTTCCCATTTAACCACTTCTTTTGAGAGGTGCTTATATGGATAAGTGTGTTAAGCGAAGTAGGATAATGATGTAGAGCGAATAAAGTTTCATTTTTTGTCATTATTTTCTTTCGACTTATTATTATTCTAAAAGATTTTCAATACGGCTTGTGTCCCTTTTAGACATATTACGAGTATGTGCCGGAAAGAGTTTGTTGCAATGGCTATCATCAAGTGGATGATAATTGTGAGCCAACATGTTATCCAAGCTGCTCAACGAACAGTACATGTTTCAAGCCAAATTTATGTCGCTGTACTGTGGGCTATTATGGCAACGATGATCACTCTTTGTTAATAAAATGCAGTCCCTATTGTGAAGAACTATGTCCGCCAAATTCTAAATGTACTGCACCTAACATGTGCACCTGTCTAGAAGGCTATCGCAAATCGCCTACAGGGGGCGAGGATTGCGAACCAATTTGTAACCACAGATGCGACGTAAATGCTTATTGTGAAAAACCGGAGGTTTGTGCCTGCAAAAAGGGTTATGAAATGATTGATAATCGATGCGAACCAATTTGCCTACAGCCTTGTCCTGACCAAGCTAGATGTATTGAACCTAATAGGTGTTTATGTGTGGAAGGTTATCAAATGCAATTAACCTCTCGTTATGAACACTATTGTGAGCCCATTTGCGAAATAAAATGCTCAACCTTTGGTAAATGCATAGCTCCAAATAAATGCGAATGTTTTAATGATTACAAGCTGAATGCGAACACTTCCATCTGCGAGCCGATTTGCAGCTCTGGTTGTGAAAACGGTCAATGCTTATCTCCAAATATGTGTGTTTGTAATAAAGGGTATTTAATGGGCCCCGATAACAAATGTCAACCGATTTGTTCGCAAAGCTGTAAACAGGGTCGTTGCATTAGGCCCGAACAATGCGAATGCGAGAAAGGTTTTCGTCTGGAAAAAAACTCAACAGTCCTATGTCAGCCAATTTGCGAGCCGCCTTGTACGAACGGTGATTGCGTTGCTCCCAACTTTTGTGTCTGTCATAAAGATTACAAACATCCAGATGATTATAAATATCATATATGTGAGAAAAGTATATCTTTAAGTACGTCAACATCAGAAACAACCGAAGACTTTACTGAAACTTCAACCACCACTGAAATCTACACAATGGCAGACACCACAATAGACCCCTTAAAGTTTTTAAAAGACGATGTCACAACTTCTACGGTAGAGCATACCGGAATTAAATTACCACAAACTTCAAATGACAGCAAGACTTTCACATCTCTAACAGAATGCTTAAAACATTGTCAATGTTGGCAAGAATACGATGATTTCGGCCCTTTATCTACCACAACATGTACGGCCTTCTGTACATATGAAAATGATCAGCAATGTTTAAAAGGTTCATTGTGTAAATGTGATTGGAAGTTAAAGCGGATGATCTGTCACTTGGCAGACGGAGAAAGTTTTGATGATATACCTTCACTTTATCAGTGTAAAGCTAATGCATTGACTGCGAAAGTACCTGAGTTGGAAAAACGATCCGCAAAAGAGGAAACGTCAGCCTATTTATTGTGGTTGGGCATAGGTAGTGGTCTGGTAATTTTAATTATCCTTACTAACTGCATAATATATTGGAAGTTTTCTACAAGAAATAGTGAGTTCTTACAATTTTAAGTGCATTTAAAAATATGCGTTAAGTTTAACAAATACATAAAAAATTCAAACTGAATAGTTAATATTTTTTTTTTTAATCTTTTACAGGTGATTACTTGGTGCAATATGAACAGCAAAGCAGCAACTAAAATTTATAAAATATTTTAAAATCTGTACAATATTAAGCTTAATAAATTCATAAATTTAAAGCAAGAGTGTTCTTTTTCTGTTTCGCTCTCCTTTACATAGGTATACACTGTGTAGAACGTTCATGATAGGTATAACCCGGTTTGCAAATGCAGCGGTTGCGGCTATAACAAATACCATTTTCACATTTTCTAGATAAATTAAAAAAGGCACATGTACACAATACGGTTTAAAATTGAATGTGTGCCTTACTGGTAACAAACAGCTTGACAAATACCGTCCTTGAGAGTATATCCTGGTAAGCAATCGCAGGCGTTTGGCTTTCTACATATTCCGCCGATGCCGCATTCCGGCTGGCACACTGGCTGACAATCGTTGTCTGATAATTTGTAGCCTTTGATGCAATTGCAGACTTCAGGTTCTGTGCAATTATGTAAGGGATTTGTACCGCAACCGCCACTACAAATAGGTCGGCAATATTTTCTTGTTTCATCTAATTTATAGCCCGGATCACATTGGCAACTCCCATCCAAGTAACAACGCCCGTTCAAACAGCCCAAAGGACAAGCGAAAACGCAATCACCGTTTTCGTTGCTTACGAATTCATCATAGCACTGGCATACTCCGGGTTGAACACAGAAACCATTGCGACAATTTTCACATAAAGGACGACATAAAGTATTACCCCGCCAACGAACTGCACCATAGCCAGCACAACAAATCTCTATCAATATTAATTGATTAGCTTTATCCGATTGGACAATACTAGCCCAAGGATATTTGCTAATGGCTTCGTTACTGTATGAAACGAGAAAAAGAAGAATTCGTTTTTTATTGAAAAAAGACAAATAGAAAGCGTATACAGAGAACAAGTCCATTCGAAATGAACATAGAAAAATTTTAACTCGCAACACATCAGCTTAACTTGCACTATGACCTCATATCTTCATTTCCCCGTTGTTTTGTCTTCCTACTGCCTTCCTAATCATATCTCCATATCTACATGTATCGATGCCAACCCAAATTTGAAAACCATAATATTCCCTGTATAAGATGGGAGTCTACGGAAATGACCCTGCAAAAAGCACAAGTAAGCTGAGATTTCAGAAGATATTTTGCAGGTTCATTCGTTTTCTCTTTCAACATTCAAAAAACTAAATTCGTCAATGAATGAAATTACGCAATGTCAATAATAGCGACACATTCGCCAACAAATTGTGTCAGTTTTTCCTTAAAAAAGGCAAACTAAAAGGCAACAATGAATGTGTCTGAATGTACTACCTACATATAATGTTGTCGTGGCAATTAAGGCTATTCTGCTAGTAGGTAATCCACATAAGTCTTTAAATGGTTGAATTATTTCGATACGTGATATGATAGCACTGAATAATGGTGAGTGGTGCACGGTAAGTTACGACATCCAGGATCAAAGAACAATGGATAAATGAATATCACGATGACTAAGCGAACCATTTGCATCGGTGATAGAGCTGAAAATCTATGAAGGTTTTACTGAAAATTAGAAAGGAGGGATGGATGTCAGTTGTATTTGTGTATTATTGATGACTTTAACCAAATTAATGAAATCTCTGTTAGTGAGCGCTATCAACAACACTTGATGCCACTGAACTAAAAGCTAGATGCAATGTGATGATATCATAATTTGTCCAAATGTTGGCCCAAAAGGTCTCCATCGGCCGCTCACCCGCAACTGGCATTTCGACTGAGTTCTCCGTAATAATTAAATTAAATCTCCACGATGGGTAACCGTAAACGACCAGTCATCCTTACGAAAAGGAATTCTGCATAAAAGATAGGTAAAGTCATGGCTAACGATGTAAAGTACTTTAGTTTTTTTTTATAAATATTCATGTTTACTAAAAAATCGACTTTCCTAACATTTTATCTTGCCCCGCTTAAAGTCTAAACTGAAAAATCTCTAAAAGAGACAAAAGTAAATTTCAAAACATTGCCACTCATTAATACCGGAGCATAGATGGAAGGCCCGCAATTGGAAGTTTTTGAGCACTTTTCGAAAGAGGCGGAAACCTAGGATAATGCTACAGCAGCTATAGTTTTTCAATTATGTTTGATCTACATTTACTTAATTTGCTCTCATAACAGATCTTAATTTCTTTATCAAACTCTCGAACTGAATGTTTCCTTTTAACTTTTTTATATCTTTTCGATCTTTGCTTTTCTTATTTTATTTGTATAAACGATAGCGGAATTATATTCAAATATCTCTCGTTGGAGAAAATATATGGAAAGCTTTAATTGATTGATTTCGAAATACTTACGGAATATATATTCGACATTTGTGATTACTGTTATAATTATGACGCAAATTTAATTGTTTATATTGCTCCTGATGTTGGTTCATAATACTAACAACGCGTTCCACATCGGTATCTGAATTCACTGCGGCAGCTGTCTGAAAACGATTACCTCGCGGAACACTATCTCTGGCTTTATTGTGACGCGATTTCATTTTCATTGATTGTTGCTGCTCATAATTATGTTCACGATTGACAACATTATAATTATCTTTAAGATCGTCATCTATTGCATTGTTTATATCGCCGTAATATTGCGCATAAACCTGTTTAGCAAAGCTTAAAGAGCTAAGGTAATCCACGAAATATATTAAAAAAATTAAATTTAGTATTTTCAGCATTTGTTCCCTTGCTCTACGATCAACCAGAAATAATCAACTAAATTTCAAATGAGGAAGAAAATGTTTTTTATGTTAAATTATAGTTTTAAAGGAGATGAGCGAAAAATTATCAGTTGCCGCAGACTGCCTTGCGAAGCTTGACGCTTGAATTTAACATTCACTTTGATAACCGTGAGTGAAGGTTTCACCATTGAATGTAATTAAGTTTTCAAAGAATTAAGAGATTTGTCTATGAAGTCTCTTTAAAGCTTCTTTGTTCAATTAATAGAAAACCGATTTGATTTGATTTAGTAGCTTGAAGAACCTTACTCAATAAAGTCTATGAATTGTTGTAAAACGCTTTGCAATATGTTTTCTTTAAGACGGGATTGGTCTGTTGACTTCATCTTATCAATTGTTTTTCTTTGTTGCTGTTTCCTCAATTGTGTTCAAACTGAAACGGCACGTTATACAACGACCACTACAACGAAGCAACCGTTTATGCGAACACCGGGTCTGTCTTTGCCCCAGAAAGATGTCAATCCTCCTAAATGCTCGAAAGAAGTACCGTAAGTGAAAAATAAAATGCTAGCATTTCAATTAGTTTGAAAGAAGATTTTTAATTTCTAGAGCGGTTTTTTTCCAATATGAAAAAAATGTGTTAGTAGTGGGCAACAGCTCTCTAAACCCTTACTTTAATGTGATTGAGGTATGTTGTCAAGGCTTTAAACGTTACGACTACGATTGGAGCAAATGTGTGCCAGATTGTGGTAATAAATGCTTGCAAAATGGATTTTGTTTGGAGGGCGCCCGTTGCCAGTGTTTTAATGAATTTGTTTTAAATCATCGCAATGATTGTGTGCCCACCTGCCCCTTAGGTTGTCCTGACGGTGACTGTTTCTTGAATGGCACTTGCGTTTGTAAACAAGGGTATGAATTAAGCGCATCGCGTCAGTTCTGTGTACCGATCTGTAAAATGGGTTGCGGGCTTAATGAAATTTGCGCAGCTCCAGAAAAATGCGAGTGTAAAATTGGTTATGTTAAGCTTCAACCAGACGACTTGAAAATCGGATGTCAACCAATTTGTATACCAGATTGTGGCTATGGGCACTGCGTGGGTCCCAACCGGTGCAACTGTTTTCATGGATATCAGAAAAGGCAAAATAGCTCAGTTTGCGAAAGTAATTGTTACCTGTAAGTTATTGAACCCAAGTATACGTAAAAGGAATTGAAAAATATTCAATTCATAATAGGCGTTGCGAAAACGGTTTTTGTGTAAATAGCACTACTTGCATATGTCAAAATGGTTATAAATTCGATCGAAATACCACTTCATGCTTACCGGATTGCGACGATGATTGTGAAAATGGTGTTTGCCTGTCGCCGGGGATATGCCGTTGCTTTAATGGCTATAAACGTCGGGGCACCAAATGTGAAGGTGTTTGCGAACAGTAAGTGATTTTGAAACGCTTTTGTATAATTATTATTTTTTTATTTTTATTATTTACTGTAGTGGATGCGGTTTTTATGGTAAATGTGTAGCTCCTGGTGTTTGCGGATGCTCTATAATACCGGGTCCTTTCCATAATTACCAACAATGTGATTTGGGATATTGCACTGCTCGAGGACGATGCCGTTGTCAAGTCGGCAATACCCGTTTCATTAATCATTGTCTTTCGCCCGACCAGGTTACCACTTATGCGTCCATGCATCATCAAAAGATGAATGACGGGTTAATCAATGAATTTAATTTATTAATTGGTAGGCATTTTAAATTTCCCGCTTTTGATTATCACAATATGAATTTTTATTAACATCCCTTGAATAAAGCCGAAATGTGTCTAACCTTTTACCAATTAAATCGATAAAAGCATTATATCATAATATAATGGGGATTGAATGAAAAGTACGTAGAGAGGAACAGAACGTTTTTATATTCTCGAAATTTGGCAGAAACGTTGATAGCTTTTCTAAAATTACATTGACCGGCCACGTTTTTAACTTGTCAAGGCTACTAAAAACTTAACTTTTTTGAGGAAAGACAGTAATAGTAGTAGTTTTTATTTCTACGTTATAGCCGCTATCAAAAATTTGAACTTCGAGCCGGCGCTATTTTGTAGGAGACCCACTCTACAGTTAGAAGGCCATCCAAAAATTCATCACATTGGGCTCGTTACCAGTCGAAAATTGATTGAACATGAATAAATGAATTCTTATTTGGCTGAAGACGAATATTTGACACTAAGTAACTAAGAAGCATTCCGCCTTTTGCTATAATAAGGTGTTCTTATTAAGAGGCTAGACATTCTTCATTCTTCTCTACAGGCTCATTACTTTAATAAACTTGATGAATTTTTGGAACAATTCGTTTGCTTCAACTTATTGCAATGAAAATGATTCATATCTCTGATAATAATCTGATAGATCTTTTATACGCTAAAACACTAGGAGTTACAGTACATCGATAGAGAGCTTTTGTAAATCTAGTAGATACTTTTCATCCAAATGTTGTCAATACTGTCTATGGTCTGAAAAAAATGAATTCTATGTTAACAATTTACAACCTGCTGATAAAGTCGCTCCTGGGACTAGCTTGGCACTTAGATTATCTCAACATTGAATTGAGCTTTAAAATGGTTTATAAAAGTCTCGATAGTATTTTATTGTACAGCGTCCGTATAACCCTTTATCCCCAATCTTTTTGAATAGTTAATATGGATCAGGCTTACACAGACAATATCATGAACATTTTCTGGTTTTATTAAAGGCAAAAGTACTTTTTCTTGAATTTTGTAGCTACCTCTCATAGAGTCTCGATAGAATCGGTTTTTATTGAAATTATTTAAGATTGAATTCCATTCATAAAAGACGCTATTCAATTGTTGCCCATCTGATGAAATTGTTGTTAGATAAAATGTTGCCAAGGGTAGCCGTTTGTTTTTGAACTCCCTTTGATATTCCGTTTTTCTTATACATTCTTATATATGCGGCTGATATAAAACTCTTTCATTCGTCCAATAACGTGGGAGAGTCGGGCTACCTTAAGCCAAACTTGCTTCCACTACTGAAATGGTATGAACTAAACGCTTTGACTCTTGACAACTACATATGCATGCACTTCACGGTAACTGGTGCAAAGATGCTTACTGTTACTAGGTAAGCTAACCCAATGTAGTATGTATATCTGAGTAATCTAATGTAGTATGTACATTTAAGGAATGTATGTATTTTAGTTATGAGTGAGAATCTTCTTCTAAGATGACACGATTTTTCTCTATTAATATTTGCTTTGGTTGTTATGGCAGAGCTTATATGTAAAAAATTAATTTAGAACAAAGATATTAATGTATTAACTTTAATGCTTTAAAATTTGTTAATTTTTCCTAGAGGTTCCTTCATTAAGAGTGATTCCAATCTAAATTATAAAAGAAGCATCAAAGCAAATTGTGCTTAATTTTGAAGCTTAGACATTGCAGTTATATTCTGAACAAGATAACGTTCAAACGTCCACCAAAGCACGCGAACTATCAATCACTATGTCCAATATTAGTTGCTTACATTTTTAATTTATGTTATATAACATGATCTCGGAGCAACTGGCGAAGTAGGCGCTTCTACTAACTTTGCTTTTTCAGTCAAATTTGTTTATATGAAAATTGGGTATCATTTATCTGGACTAAAAGTTATGATTAATTTTATTTACACTCATATGACAGCTACCTTAATATTTTAATCCGTACAAAAGTTGGCACAAAGGTCGGGAATTCAAAAGAAAACATATGAAATTGTTTACAAATCCAAGGTAGGCACAAAGGTAGGCACAAATGTCGGCGGTTGGTACTTTTTTTTACAAGAGCATTATTACAAATTTTTTAGAAAACATCTTCTTCTTCTTTACGCAATAAGAAAAAAGAAAATAGAAATAATGAGCATTCTTTCTTGCAACTTATTTGTAAGCACAAATTTAGGCATTGAATAGAAAAATTTACGGTTGAAAATTTTGGAGCGGGTTTTACGATTTCGTACAAAAAATTAAATATTAATTGCAATGAATAAAAGCTTTCTTTTTACGATCTGCTACAATATGAAGTTTATTTGACTAGTCTAATCAAAATTATTTATTTCAGCATCGAGAAGAAAACACAAGAATTTCGGCCATGCTCGTGGACAACTAAGTTGATATATTTAGTAATAACTTTCGCAACGTCCTCCCTTACGCTCGTAGCCGGGGTAACATTCACAGACATCAGGCGCTGAGCATATTCCATTCGAACAATCCTCAGTGCAAATGGGATCACATTTTACACTATGCATGCTGTAAGGATTACGTTCGTATCCAGGACAACAGTACGATAAAGTGCGTAAACTGAACTGCGGATCGTTAGTTTTCCGACTGCAAAGTAATACTTTAGAATAATTTGCACAAGTTTTACTTTTTAAGTTAAATTTTGCGTTTCTTCACATACGACAGTTGTTTGTAGCATATGCCTGCTGCCATAGTGCCTTTGATATCCAATATGAAGAGGTCGCGTTCATTTAAAGAATTTAATTTCCAAAATTGCGGTATTGCCTGACAAATACCGCCAAACACTGCACAAGCTATGAGTATGTTAAGAAAATATTTCATGTTTTTTTTTTTTTGCTTACTTGATCTTTCGAATACAACGCCTTTCTTGAAACTAAATTTAAAGACCAAAGATAAACTTTTTAAAGATTTTACATATTCTGCTCACTTCGAAAATCTTATCAATGCTTGAGAGAAATCATGACAAAGAAAGTAAATACAAATTTATAAATATTTGTTAATCTATGGAAGAGATAGATAAGGAGAAAGAGAGAGAGAGAGAGAGAGAGAGAGAGAGAGAGAGTGAGAGAGAGGGAGCGTGAACAGGAATATGAACTAAATATAAATGACTTTTCACTAAATAAGTTAATAGAAATTTTGTAGCAGTTTCAGAATTATCTTTAACAAATACGTTCAATGAAATAGTTTTATATGAATACTTTTGTGTTAATTAGAAAAGGTGGGCGTTACAAAGAGAAGTGTTTCTTAAAAATATTTGCAAAAAATTGAGAGCGCTTTTGATTATATGTACTTTACGTTGAAATCATTGTAACAAAAAATGCAATTGTTTCAGACTTCTATTCAATTCATTCTCAAGTCTACACACTATCAGACGCGCCAGCTTAATTATTTTTAAAAATAGCAAGAATGAAATTCTTTATCATTTTTAATTTAATGTTTTTATATCAAGTTGAAGCTCAATACAAAACTGTTGGCACTAAAACACGTTATCCTGCGAGTTCAGATAATCTAGTGCAAAGCAATTCTAGTCAACAACAGTACGATTATGAGCAGACTGATTCCACTCATAATGGAGAACATTTTTTCGAACTTCATACTTATGATAGCAGATTGTCAAATCAGCCTCAACAAGTGCCCACCAAAGCTCCTCTAATTTTGGACGCCACTGCCGATTTTATAAATAAAACTCGTTCTAGTATGGCCGCAGGCGTTTGTTATAAGGAAGTAGCGTAAGTAAAGCTATGGGTGACATAATCAATTCTTCCAAAATTCAAGGGAATTTTTTAACTATTTTGTTGGGGAACATAGGTGAGCTGTTTATTTGCTTAAGTCAAGGTATATTCAGATATAATTATATTTTATGTTATTGTGCATTTTAAGTAAATTTCCGACACATTACTTATGTAAAAATATAAACGCAACTATGTACAATTCATCTACATTGAAAAATGGACTTGAGAAACGTTTATATATATAAACATATACATGTGTGTATTTATTTAATATTAATTACGCATAATAATAAATAACAAGTAAAATTATCAACTCAAAGCGTTAGGCGATAAGCTTGCTTCTTATTCTGAAAACAAAGTAAGGTAGTTTTCTCTCTTCAGAACCGCATCTCTTGTTCGTCATCATCAAAACGTGATACCTGCCGGCAATGGCAGCACTCCTGAACTAAGCAAAATTCAAGTATGTTGTGCAGGTTACGAACGCAATCCTCATATATTAACACGCTGTGATCCCGTATGCCCTGATGATTGTCCAAACGGTATTTGTACTGCTCCCAATATTTGCGTTTGCATGCCCGGTCATGTGCGTAATGAAAGGGGTAAATGTATTACTACCTGTCCTCTAGGTTGCGGAAATGGTTACTGTAATAGCGATAACGAATGTAGATGTAAGCGAGGTTATACGTTGGAACCGCAAGAAAAGAAGTATTGCATTCCTCAATGTGAACCAGCATGTGTGGCAGGGAATTGTGTAGCGCCCAACAAATGCGAATGTAAAGAGGGTTTTCGTTTAGCAGTTAGTGGAGCTTGTGAACCCGACTGTGATCGCTGTGAAAATGGTATATGTACGGCTCCCGGTGTTTGTACCTGCAATTCGGGTTACATTAGAACAATCGATATGTGTGAACCAGTTTGTGATCAGTAAGTTTTAAGAAGCTTCAATGTTTACATACACAGTTTTTGTATTCATCAGCGAAAAATCCTTAGAACTGTCACCAGAACACACATTTTTTATCAACATAGGACTACGAATAAATTTAGCCATGTCCGTCTGTTCCTCCACCCGTGTGCGATCCATTGAGAAAACACTCTTAAATTGAAACACCAAAGTAGTTGATGTTAAGCATCTGATAAGTGTGGGCTAAATTTGAAAATCGACGAAATCCATCCAACAAAATGAAACTCACAGTTTATTTTATTCCTAGTTAGGCTGAAAACCAGGTAAACCAGGTACACAGGTTCAATAGGATCACGTAAACTTTTGGTTTATAATTCGGAGTGGTAAGCACATAAGTTGGATCAGTATCAAATTCTCAATCCATTTAGATATGTCTTTCGATGGCTCTGTGTAATTTCGATGGTAAAAATTCCCATGGTCACAAAAACTACAATGAACAAGCTTTAAATTTTGCAAAAGAATGAGAAATACTTACAGGCAGATGAATATAGAAACCGGGCCGAATCGAACAACGGCCAGTTGTATAAGATAAAGCAAGATCATTGGTTTTCAAAAACACAGAGTAGGTTTCCTGCTGATTACCGTTAAACTAGAAGAGATGCAATGATAACGATTTCTATGTATGATTGGTTGCACACTAATAAGACCAATGGGTCACGCTCGTCCAATCTTGTAGAGCATCGAAAATTAGTTATTAAATCAAATGAATTAAATTATTAAAAGATTTGGCCAAAGCGGAGTAGAATTTCTTGCTCGTTAGGGTTGTATCCAATAAACATTTACCACAAGGACGGATATAAATTTTTTAATTAATTGCAGCTCCTGTTTATTACAGAACATGCGAAAATGGGGTTTGTGTTGCTCCGAATAAGTGCGCCTGTCAACCTGAGTTCAAAATATCTGCAGAGAATCCCTTTAAGTGCTTACCCCATTGCGACTTGCCTTGTTTAAACGGCTTTTGCGTCGCTCACAACAAATGCATCTGTAATCCTGGGTACGTGCTCGATGAAAACGTACGAAATATGTGCATTGCCCATTGCCATCAAGGTTGCCCCAATGGCTATTGTACTGCACCTAATTTATGCATTTGCAAACCAGGTTTTATTAAAACTGGAATCAAAGGTCGTCAAGCCTGTACCGCTGTTTAAAAATCAAAACATTTTTAAATAAATTTTTATTCATCATTTTTAAAGAGTTTTGTCCCTGGAGAATTTTTATTTTAAAGTAATATATTTGAAAAATTAAAAAGTGTTTATTTTAAATATGAGCGATTTTCGTCAGACTTTGTGGCAGGTGTGGCTGTATGTGTGTAAACGTACCGCTCTGTGACGGAATAAATAATTGTGCCACGTGATGCTGTGTGTGCTGTTGCTGTTTTTGATGATTTAAAAATTGACCTTGTAGTGATGGTTGGTGAGTTTGTGCCCTTAGGTAATTTGGAGTAGTTAGATCGGTGTGCAAGGGGTTCAAGGCATCCGTAGTGGTTGTCATCGCTGTGTTAGCTGTGGAATAGGGTATTTCATCGTATAAATGAGAGTCCATGCTAGGTTTTCGAGACTTTGGGGTCACCACCGAATATAAAGATTCTTTGCGTCTATAAGCAATAGGCGTCGAGGTATTTATGCAAGCATTATTTAATGGTGCATCATACAAGTCGGGTTCTGAAGGAATAAAGTAGGCAATAAGGTGTAATTTTTCAATAATTATAACATAGTTATTGACACTTACATACCCTCGATTTTATTGCGTACCATTTGAGTAAAAGCTGGTAAATCTGGCAATGGTTTTAGAAAACTTTTACCCAAACTACCCGGCATTTCCTGAAAGCCACTTAAAGTTAAATTATGTTGGCCAGACATTGGAGGGGGTGACGTTATAATAACGGGAGCATTTACCCCAGGGACTAAACTGACACTGCGTGCAGCTAAGGCTGCCTCAACATGAGCCTTTTGTAAATGATAACGCCTGTATACATAGAGAAAACCCATAGCTATGGCTACCATTATCACTAACAATATCACCAAAATTGTCGTTAGTAAATTGTTTTCATGTTCTGGTGTATGCGGAACAATAACTTTTAGATGATCTTCTTTTTGCTCTGGTATAGTAGCGAAACCGGCCATTTGTAATTTGTTCTCCTGACTTACATTGTGTTCTTCGCCTAAGCCATTAGTGATAACATGTATAACATCGGGGCTTTTAACCGCATTATGAAGATTTTCCAGTAAACCTTGACCGGGTTGATGGACAATAATTTTCGGGGTATGCGCCAGTTCGTCTTGCTTAATCACTATCACCTCTGGCACGGGCTTGGAAGAGTTCCACTCATAGTCATGTAAAAATTTCTCAGTAGTGCTACTTGACGCAATATTATCGATATTTTTAGCTAAGCGATCTAAATTATGCGTTATATTCGCTATTGTAGAATTTAAGGAGGCTATCATAACATGCGTAACATTGGGTGAATTTAAGGAGCTGAACACGTTGTCACAGATTCCTGTTTGAGGATGGCAGCGCTTGCCCTCACATTCACATGTTTTACGACACATGACACCATGAGTGCCTAACGGACAAGGTTGCTCGCAGCTAAGCCATATACGAAAATCATTAATATATATTTATTTATTTGTTTATTTTTTTTTTTTTTAATGTTTTCCCATATAAATATTTTACTCACAATTCTCCTGTCCAACCTATAGTGCAGTGGCATAAACCAGATTTATTATCACAAACCGCACCATTATGACAGCGACATTCGTTCTTACAATTTAAACCCCAATGATCGTGATCGCAACCTAATGTATAAAAAACAGCGACAACAAATTTATTTGCATTGAATTGAAAAAAGAGAAAAAACTTTAATATGTGTTTGTAAACTTACGCTGTGTACAGTGTTTGCCCATATAGCCAGGCTCGCAACTGCACATATCTGGTTTCATGCAAAACCCGCGACCACAACCTCCTCTACAAACTGCTTTGCAAACAGTGTCGTTTATTGATATGTTACCTTCGTAGCCGGCACAACAGAAACGTATGGTTCGCGTCTTGGTTACATTCTGCAAAAGTTAACATAACAAAATAATGTTAACTAAAAAATATGCTGCTTTCTTTATTATAGATTTCATCCCTTGCAATTGCTCGTTACACACTATATGTCTGGGAAATTTATAGCTTGGGATATTTATGGTCTGTCGGTGAAAATGCTACACAGTCTCGTATATATGTAGCCATAAGTATTTTGATTTAATTTAATTGATGACGAAATTAAAATTTTTATTAATTTAATTCACTGTTCATAACGCCCTAAATAGCTTTTATGGCAAAACAGCTATTCCTAGATACTCCGTACGACGAAGAGTATTATACAAACTTTTCCCTATTATTACTAAATCGCCTTCTTTAAAGCTTGGCTTTTTTTAAGCCTTACTTTACATACATTTCTCATTACTTTGGCCCTTCCTGTTGAAAAAATGTGATGAATTTTGTGGTCAATTTTTCCTAAATTTTATTTCACGTTATCGAAGAGTTCACTTTCGAATTTCTGAGGCAGATAATCAGTAAATAAAAACCCCACTACAAACAACAAAAGTTCATTTCACATCATCAACGTATCGTTGGGGCCGCTCCAACTTCAATGACTTAATATGAACATGAACGTAAAGATCTAAATTTTTCGCAAATTCTCTTGCCGGTTGTATCTTTTTTTAGATATCTTATCTAGATATCTTATCAACGCTAAGCAAATTAGAGCAGCTCCTGACTTAATAACGCATAATATGTAGAGTCAGGAATAGTTAATGCAACAATCCTTAGATGACAACGGACTGTAGATTAGTCATAAATTTTGACCGGTGTCGAAAAAAAACTTGATTTAATTAACATATCATTAGCTGCTAAGCGATCACGCGAGCGAGCTGTATCGGAATGAGCAAATTTCTCTAGACGAACTTTTACAGATCAAACTTCCGAAGCACTTTTTGTATTTGATTTTTATCCATAAATTCAAATACAAAGATATATGAGTTCAAGTGCTCATACTAAATTTATATGATACTGGTAATATAAAAATTTTGATTTGTATGAGATGAGATTATAAAGAGTATGCATACGCACGTATTAGTGAGCGTGAGCATATATCTGTTTGATGGGTAATTGTTGCATAAATTAATAAGCAGGAAATTTTCAATGAAATTGTAGAGTTATTCGTTACATATGTCAACGCAACTGAAATCGATGTTTATAGGGGACAATAAATGAAAAAAAAAACATAATGGAAAAAATTTCCAAACCATAGATTGTAAAAAAATGTCGCTCGATTTTTGCGTTAAATAAATATTAAATAAAATGTCGGGAGACACATTTTAAGCAGAAGAGCTGTCAATTTATTTACCCTAAAAATCCAATAAAATTAGAACAATTTTTATAGAAGAACTATAAGTAACAACAACCGCATTAGGAAAGTGATAGCATGTACTAATCATCTTATCTCTCTTATATACATTAAAAATGAATTTTCGTCTATTTGCTACTGAAATACTGAAACTTGCATCTTTTTCAATGGAAAGATAGTTTTGGCTTAAAAACAGAGGCAATACACCAGCAAATAGTTCTTCCAGCAGCTACCATCGTAATATTTATCAGAATTACCAAATGGCTACTTGAAGGCTTTTCTTAAGATGGACTGCAACTGTACTGGAGCTGTTAAGGATTCAGAGGTTAATCCTACTTTATTAAGATAATGTGGGCACATACTCCTAAAGAAAGAAGAGAAAAGTTTTGGTGCTTTCTGGTTAGTGCAGTGGAGTTGTGACGATTTTACTATTCACTATGATGTTTTGTTATTAACTGGTCTCAACAAGAAAATTGTATAGATCAAAGATTTTCTTAAGAAATATTAACAAACATGATTACATCTTGTGTGTTATCTGTGAATCATTAAATGAAATATGTAAGCACTTGTAAATTATTATCTGTTAAAGGCAAGGGATTATAATGCCAAAAGCATAATAGTTGCAAAACCAACTGAAGTCTGTAAAAGGAAACCTATGAGCGAAGAGATTGAAGACTATAACGACTCATAGCCATAAGTGTTAAACTTTAACGGAATGATGAACACCCTTTATCTAAAGCTTTAATTAAATTCAAATCCGTTAACTATTAACCCGACTTATTCAAATAAACGTATTACAAATTGAATAATAAACACGATAATTACTACACTCACATTTCTCCAAATAGATTCTAGTAACGCAACCCAACGATGGTTGCCGGAGCTGAAAACATCCTTCTGTTGAGTACATTGTTGTCTGTCGTTATATCGAACGTGCAGTGACTAGGTTGTAAGTAACAGCATGCTTTACAAATTAGATTCGAATAATTTGGTATATTTAAAAGAAAATTTTTATTTTATTGTCCACAATCTGAACTGAAGAACTTTTTACCGAATTATTTATTTTGTGAATTTTTCAATGAAAATAACTCTTTTGTCGAAAAGCTCAATTAATTGGATTTGATCCTTAACGCAAACAAACATTCTTTAAGAGTACAAAATTTGCTCGACAAGCTAACGAAATACTTTAAATCCACTTATTAATATTTAAAAAAAAATAAAAATCAATACCAACAATCATATAATTAATACACAAGCCCCTCCACTCCAGTTCATAGAAATATATTAGATGACGACAACTGTGCATATATTTACGTACATAGAGATATATTAAGCATTTCCTGGTTATTTTGTTGTTGTTGCGATATTCATTATTGCAACAGGTTTTCCTCCAAAACTAGCCTGAAACAATAGTGCAAACAATTGCATACATCGATATTGCGTAGTGCGAGCCATATCTAACACATTAGAGATGGAGGTAAAAGTGAGGTAGCAGCTATTTTTTTTATTTTTATTTTTTTTTATTTTTTTTATTATCATTACTCTCGCATATATTTGAATGTGGTTAGCATTAATTTTTTCTTATTTTCTTTTCAATAAAGTTAGTTTATTTGGCAGCTTTAATGGGAGCACAACGTAGTATTTTGTGTGTAACCGATTACACGGTTACATTTACACCACAATTTGAAGCGGTTTAGCGACTTTTAATCAGAGGATAATGACCGAGAGAATGTTGTTATGTATAGAAAAGTGGATTTGTAGGTGAAAACATAAAATTATATCTTAATAATTTTTTTCTTCTTTTTTTTCGTTTTTGTTATATGGGTTAAGCGGGCAAACATTATATAAAATTAATAACAGCTTAAAGCTACTGCGGAAAATATTTCCTATTATTTGATTTCCAATATGAAGGCGTTCGTAAAATAGTACCATAGTTCATTTCGGATTTAAGAGAATTCTCCAAAAAAATCCTAGATCGATTGATACCTTTAATATTTTAGTACGTAAAAGAAAAAATGCAAAAAATAAACAGAAAACCATAAGCGGTAATATCACCTTGTGTGTACTGAAAATAGGCTTGACTTGTAAATGTGTATAAAAAAAAACATGAGAGTTTTCATCTATGGAGGTGCAACGCTGAAAGTATATGAACAATTTTTTTAAGATTTTTTAAAAGCAAAGCTAAACCATAAAGATCTCTCTTGTCGCAATAGTAAAGATTACAATTTCGCTCGATGATTTGATGGACCTTTTTTTTGATTTTGAAAGTCGGCAGTAACATCGACATATTCTAATTTATCAAAAAATCCTACAATGGTCACTAGGAAATGTGTTTCTAAAGCTGCTGTTTAAGGTTGAAGGCGATCGAATCGAAATCTACGGTAAAATCCCGATTAACGTGTCAGACTCGTGCATATGTATAAATATGTTCGGAAAATTGAATATATGAGTTATTCATTTAGGATTTACTTTCATTTTTGACAGTTCTAGGAATTATTTAATAAATATGGCACTACTCCGCGATCTCACTTTGTGTTTTGAATAAGACTGAGTTTGCTATGCGGGTACCATAGGACATGAATTAACACTTTTTGTTTATTCGTTTAATGGGTGAAATTTTTATTTGCGAGTCGCCAATACACCAAACTGATATGCAGCCATTTTGGAGACGATTGGTAAGGTCGAGTCATGACAATAAGATGCGAAGTCCTCGCCACGTAAGGTAATGCTCTATGTTCGTGCAATATTAGCTGTTTCCATATGTATGACTACACAGTCTATTGTCAACAATTATTTCGAAATTTAAGCGCCCAGTTGTGGTAAATCGTTCAGAATTATTCAATATCATTAAAGCCGTTTTCCAACAAGACAATGCCAGACCGCATCCACCTCCAATGATTCAACAAACATTTAGAAAGCTTGGCTAGAAAGTTTGGTCAATCCAATCGGATCTTTTTCCGTACGATTCACACTTGTTTTGGCGAAGAGAGTCATATGAAAATCTTGCTTCAGTTTCTCGCCTAGATATCCTAGTATGGGTGTTACCAGGAGAATGGCAAAATCTTATCAACCAAAATAACACATATGTGGGTGAATAAAATTTGTTTAAAATACAAAGAATTTAGTTTTGAATTTTGGTGAAAAAACGTCACGAAGTTTTTGCGTGATTGAATATAAATCTTTAGTTAAGAAATCATTATTTTGAACTTCCGTTTCAACACCTGTAAATTGTAACACTTATAAGAAAAGATCCGTCTGGAATTAACTAACAATACGTTACTATACCAATAAACCCAATATGGCAGCAGCTTTTGATTTATATATAAAACATGTAACTAAAATCGTATCAAGTGAGCTGATCATGTTAACAGAATATCGTCGCGCAACAACACACATAAAGCCAACAGCATCAGGTTTTTTCTTCTTAAATAATGTATAAACTGGAACTAAAATAAAAGACAGACAATTGCAAGTTGTAAGAAATCTACTTTTTTTTACAGTGACCACACCAAGCTTACCTAACCATATAAAAGACATGTATATAAAAAAAACAAGATCTAATATTTCACTTTCTAAAAGTGAACATTTTGCAGAATTATTAGCGTTAAGTTTAGATTGCAGGAAGTAACAATAAATGCAAATTGTGAAATTACATATACTCCTAACCAGCGGCGGCAGCCTTTAGGTAACTTAATGCAACCGTCTGATATGGATTTGAGGCTTTTATGTCATCATATTAATTACAAAATATTAGCTAATACAACTTGTCACAGCACTTGTGGGTAGCGGTAACAGTTAAATATAATAAGAAATTCAGAGAGTTACAAGAGAGCTATATTTGTGACTGTGCGCCCACATCGATCGGACAATTGCACAATTCGTATCCTTAAAACTGCTTTAGATAGATCCACAAAAAATTTGCCACCACTTGTAAATTATTAAAAATTAATATTGAAGAGCTGGTTTTTTTTTTCATTTTCCTGGCTATTGCTTTCCGGTAGACGCGATTGTGGACAACTTTTTCAAAATTATTCTTTATATATCGATCTATCCATTCTATCCATGGACAGCGAACATTGAAACAATCTGATGAATTTAGGGCCAAGCACTCATGATCAGTCAGACAATCATAAATCTAAATGCTATAAACTTAATGGCAGGTAGAATATACCGCACTTAGTAATGCGTATTAAAGTAATGGTTAAACAAAATAGAGTATCATAATTAAATTTGGTCGAATTGCCAACGCGTAGAGTTTAAAAAGAAACCAATATACATGATGTATACTTTCCAGTATTTTTAAATCAAAATCTATTAAAAAATGTTCAATAAAACCGATTTGATATCTTTTTATTTTACATTGCCATGACTAGAGCAAAAAGTAATTTTTAGAATAATTTTCAACTTTTTTCCATTTACGTAGTCGTGATCGATGCTAATGTGCAATGAGATGAAATTAGATGAAGAAATTTTACATAGTCTAGCTGTCGATTATACTAAATATATTTTTGCAAAGCTGAGTAGAAAAACAACATGAAAACTAATAAACCACTACAAACAAACAAGGAAGTCTTATATTGAAATACATGCTTGGCGGTGGCAGCCGTGTGGTGGTATTAAGTTATGGTATGCTATGCTTTTGTATGAATTTCGAAAGGAATTTATCGTTAAGAAAAACCCACCACGTATGCTCTCATTTAATTAGGTCAAAATTAAGCGTCAATTTTCAAACACTTTTATCTTCTTCGGGTCTTACTTATATATTGTAATGAAAGCTTATAAGTGGTTTAATTATCATTATATAACAAAATTTTATAATAAAAAAAAAAATCTAAAATGCACGCGTATGTTGGTTAATTGCCTTGTCAGACAAATTATTTGTCAAATTAATGTTTGGCATCATTCAGGATTTATGAAAAACTCGTTACTTTCCTAACACCTCTCAGCATTAACTAACTCGGCGGACAAGTAAGAGTTAACAATATTTTAAAAACATTGCAACCTGTTTAACAAAAAGTTTTGAGGAAAAAAGCGCTCATAGAAATTATGTCACGGTGTCACTCACGATGGAATGCTCTTGCTCTTTCTTCGCATACTCTTATGATGCGTGTATTTATTTTGACTGCAGCATAATCAAAGTGAATGGGTTGGCATAGTCTTTGGGTCGGTTTGCCTTCATTCATGTCCCGTATTTATTTTATGAGCATACGACTGGATTGGTATTCAATTGTCAATTTGAAAGTTGATGTCTAAATATATGCACATGTTTATGTTAAACATTGTGTGCTCATATTAATATCAGAGCACCTGGCTAAAAACAAGCAGATAATCAGAAAAACAAAAAAAAAAATACCACATAGAAAATTATGTAATGAGATTTATATATGAATTTTCAAATGTAATGAAATTCAATATGTAATGAAAATGCAGGCATTCAAATGTTACTTCTTTGTTTTATTACCAATGTTTCCTCCTATCTCTCTTTTCTTCTTCCAATCTGAAAAATAATATTGGCTTAAGACTGATGTAAAACAAGATAAACAAAATTATGCAATAAACGATTAAATTATTACAAGTGGTTATGGTTATGATTCGAAGTCAAATGTAATATGATAGAATTAAAAGAAAATAAAGGAAAAAAGAACTCTAAAGAGAAAAAATATATAGTCGTATGTAATTATGATCAGAGAAGGGAGAAACATGGAAATAATGTTGAAATAATACTCTATCGGAGTTTCATTAAAAACGTTCTTATTATTTAAACCATTAGAAGTACTTTATCTGAAGCATTCCTAATCGTTGGCCCAAAATTCTTATTTTCATTTTTTTAATAAACTTTCACTTACGTAATGAAAAATCATCCTCAAGGCAACGTGTGTACGTCGGTATTTTTCAGGAGCATTCAATGGAATAGAATAGACAATAATTGGTATCGATTGAAACCTATATGAGTTACAAAGAATAACATTTGCTGAATACAGCATGAAAAGCAATATATTCCAGTTTGAGTTCTGCTACGTGCATCACACTCAAAAGTCACGATATCACGACTATTGATATACTAAGCTCGTTTCTCGCCAAAATAGCGTCACGCATTGTTGACAATAATGACTTCGTTTGAGAACTTTGACTCTATTGGTCTTAATAGCGCCCGCAAATCATTTGCCTTTTTATCAAAATGATTAGTGAAGACAATTTAATCATTTCAAATTTGTTTTCAACTCAAAGGTTCCTGTACCCCTCCCACTTGCTTTACGACCCGAAATTGAATTGCCACCATGTACAACATAATTCCAGACAATGTGATTTCAGTGACAACGTTGTGAACGGCCGTGTTTCGTTAAAAAATGATTATTCACTTTCGCGCGTTTCCCTCAATATTACATTTTTCAAGCTTAGTGAGTTACTCACGATTTCATCTTCAGCTGATAGCCTTGAAACTGTAACTGCGGACTCTGAACGAGATCCTCTCTCTCTCTCCCTTTTTATTTAATGAGCATCGAGCCAGTTTTAGGTTAATTACAATTTATTCGCTCTACGACCAATATTCGAACGAATGAGAAAAACTTCAAGTAAGAAAATTATATCTGATTGCTGCACAATCTTCTGTAACCTCCAGCTTTATTTTAAAAAACTGTAAGAAACTGAAATGTCGAAACTGTATAATATTGCGTGGGTCATTCTTTTCACATTTGTACAAGCACAGCTATTCCTTATAGGCAATCAGAAAATCCTGTTTGAAAACACCCCTGTTTTTAGTTTAGGCTGTCCCATGGGCGAACTCTTTAGCAGATTTGCCAAATTTATCTTACTTCTTGCGAAGTACACAAGCAAATAAACAGATGAACAGACATACAAACAGAAGGACGGACAAAACATGATCAACTCAGTGTCCGATTTTTTTTTTTTTTTTACTACGGAGTCTCTGTGAAGTCTCTTTCTGCATGTTGGAAAGGATATGATTTTTTCAGTCATATTTTCAACAAGAAAAGAGCACATAATTTGTAATCATCTTAAGAGTCTAATCGTCACAGCGAATACGGCGTAAAAACTGTTAACCAAAAATTATAAAATATACTGAATTTTTCAGTTTTTCCTAGCCTTTGTGAGATGAGTAACTAGTAAGAAAACTATGATATGTCATTGGCCGAATCATTTATACTCTTCATCCCTGAAAGAAATGAAGTTTCGTTAATCTATCACTTTTAACATATTTGGTCGATTGTTCTATTTTTATAAAGGATCACTCGTAGAACACACTTAAAATATGTTATCGTTGTAGCTTCTGTAAAGCATTGAGTTATGAGCAAATAATCCAAATTTCTTTTTTCGATGCCTTTTGAAACAAAGCCTTTCTCGGTTTATTTTTTATTATAGACGCGTCCATTAAACGATTTGGCTCTTTCTCATTGTCAACAGAGGATGTTAAATATGTTTTTCCCAACTACGCGAATTCAAAGTTCCTAAAGAGAAACGCACACCAAGCAGCGAATAATAGAATCATTCAGCAATTTTTAAAAATGTAGAAAAGTAAAGTGAGTTTTCTAAGTTAGCTAACTAATTGAAATGTAAGCTTACATATCGCTGAGCGTCTTCAGCAAATAGAACTTTGCAGAGCTTTTCTTGTATATTCAGTTAGCGTATCATTTTTTGTTTTTGTCTCTTATTATTCTTTAATCTTGAAAATAATTTTTAAGTTACTTATTTTGTTTTCTTTTTTTTATTGTAGATTCAACTCTCACTTAAACTTACCTCCGTTTTAATTACTTCGCGCATTTCCGTTTTGTAATTCGAACAGCGAGGCGGGAATTCTAAGCACCAGGCTGAACTGCGAATGCGCACTGGTTCCATCGAAGGGGTACGTATTTCTTCCACATATTCCTCTTCTTTGGTACAAACATGATTATCATATATGGCAGTTGAAGCCGTCGTAGTTACTAAGATTTCGTTTAAGGATTTATTTGTATTAGTATCGGGCGACGCTAAAATATTGTGCTTGTATTTATTGGTAAAATTCACATTATCAACTATACCGGCAGTAAGGTCAGCATTATATCTCAATTTATTATCACTAGCCGTGCAGACGTGTAAAAGTAAATAAATTTGTGAAAATTTCGCTATTATAAGCATTTTACTTTTTCAATGTTTAAAAATAAAAAAAATAAAAAAAAATTTATTCATAGGTTTGAAAAAGCATCTCTCTGAAAATACTTTCGCTATTCTAATTTATATACAACTTATTGATCATTTTTATCCGCTTAGTGTTTTGTGCGTTTAAAATGCGTCTCGTAAACTAACATAAGCCATAAAATTCTCATTCCATAGAAGCTAAAGTAATGGAGGAGAAAATTGCAAATTAAATGACCAGAAATAAAAAAAAAAAAAAAACAAAATCTCTCCAAAAATTGTCTCCCAACGTAGTATGAAATATATTGTATATCTGTGTATACCGCATAGTTAATCTCTGTCTGTGACTTCCATGTAAAACGTTTTGATTGAATTTAATTGAGTTTGTTAAACATGTTGTTGTGTACGTTTGTTTTGTTTACTTACTTGCATATGTCCTTAGTTCATGTATTGTTTTTTTATATCCGAGTCTCTTAAAGTTAATTTACTGTTTAGTTTCAATTTTATTATTATTATTACGTTATTGAAGAACGCTAAGTAATAGAGAGAAAGAGGGCGGTGGTGCTGTGGTATAAAATAAGTGACTGACCCTCGTTTGCTTTTTTTTTTTTTTTCTTTTTTTCTATTATTTACTAAACATATATTCTATGTGTGACTTGGAATGATTCCGTATATACAATATTTAAAATTGCTTACAAAACTGTGTTTTATATTTTATTGAATTAAGTTTTTAAATAAAATAAATTAAATTTGGTTTTTTTCTTCGGCACTTGTACGGTTTTTGTTCTCCGACAAGATTTGTGTAAACGTTTGTAACTAAGGCAACCAGTGTGGGAAGTAGTAAATGAACTTTAAAAAAAGTTCAATAAAAAACAAACCAGAAATTTATGTGTAGTTTAGACCGCACCTTTTAATACCGATCAATGATTCCTTTTTAATTTCCTTTTGACAACAGATTCACAAATCCAAAAAAGAAAACCACTTGTATACACACCTGTATTCCATCCTTTGTGATGTAACGTTTATCTCGCGCGCGTGATAGCATCCTGTGGCATAATCGTAGTACACACCCTAGGATTATTTACGCATGTGTATTGTGTCAGTAATCGCGATCCAGTACATGTGCTATGATTATAGTACGAAATCTATCTAAAATCTATTGCAATATGTATCTTAGTATGATCCGCCACTTTCATCATACGGTACACGAGCTCAGAACGTTTTGTTATGTTGATCCAATTTCTTTTAGTTTTGTTTATTTGAAAATTTGCATTCGGCCAACATATGCAATTAATTTAGGCGATCATTTTAACTGATTTTCGTAGATAACTAAATTTAGACTTAACTTAATTTCCTTTTTCCAAACAAATCCTACACACAGTTCGTAGTTCGCTAACAAACAATTCTGCAAGACAGTCATTTTTTCCAGCAGATCTCGATAAAATAAAATTCTCAGTCAAATTAAAATTTAAAGTATTGAATTAGCGGCTCTTCGCCATAAGACGAACTTTAATCTCTTAAAACTATTGGTCGAAAATATGCTGCAGGCTACTACAATTTCAACAAGCAAAAATCTTGCCTTGGAGCTGGCTTAGTATCGCAAGAAAATTGGGGGAAAAACGCTAAGGACTCCATTATTACGCCCGTTTCTGATCAACGGCTGACCGTCTTGCACGATTGCCTGTAATTGCCTGTAATTTCAGTCAGACCCGTTTCAAGTTCACAGCTAACTATGCTATGTTTCTTGCTCTTGCGGTTGTCAGTTAATTTTACAGAGTACTCTAAAAGTTGGGTTCATTGTAGACAAAATTAAATCTGTTGCCACTGAGTCAAACTGAAAAAAAGGATATTATCCTTTTAATCGAATTTACTAATTAGTTCGATTGAATTCTTACTTGCATTCAGAGCAGCTCAAGTGTTATAAATGTCATCTACCTGAACAAGAAGATCTAACACCAAAGCGGATGTACTAGTTCATGTACATAATCCTATAAAAAGATTGAAACATAAACAAAGTGAGGGAATAGATTTTTAGTTTTCAGACCTTCCTTAATTTTGGGCAAGCTTTTGTATCAGCTTAGATGACCTTTTAAGTTAAGACGAATGCTCTATGTGAAATTTAGTTATAACAGTGATTTCGAAAGATAGACGCATATATGGCCATGGTTTTGCCTAGGAGAATATGGGTGCCTTAAGGACTCAACCATGAATATGTCTGAAACCTAACGAAACTTTGCCAAACATATTGTCGGCATAGTGAAGTGAGTTAAGCGTGAACTTGTATACAGCTTGGAACTCCTTTCTTAATATCTGCCATTATTTAACTGAAGGGCTTGCTAAATTGTAATCATTTATTATAATATGCTATTCACGCGATACGTAACATATTTGTTTAACGAAATTCATATATTATTAAAGGGAGAAAATTATATACGGTTGTGACCGAATCTTTTTTTTGGAAATCGTCACAAACTTATAACGTGACGACAATTTCCTAATAAACACTTATATGTTACCTACTCCCATATTCCCCCAAACTCGGATATTTCCATATATAAGAAACAGGCCGCCCTCATTTGCGAAGTGGCCAAGCAATTGCCGATAAAGTCACTGCGTGTCTTCAATTTGCCTCAAGTCACATGGTGTTACATCGATAGTTGTGACTGTTTGATTCCTACTTGAACATCTGGCAGAGCTGTTGTGTTCTTTAACGAATTATTTGATAATAATTTATTTCAATACAACCGTGCCCCTGATCGTAATGGTAAACTGCCTGATCTCTGCTTTGCCAATTTCCCGGAGATTAGTGTAAATCGTTGCCCACCTTTTAGTTTACCTGAGGATCCTTATCATCCAGCAATGTTTATTTCCTTTCATCACAAGCATGACGGTTCGTTGAACTATTTTAATGTTCCAAATTCAACTTTTTCAAGTAAATATTATGATTTCCATAAAATCAATATTTCGCTGCTAGAATCTCATCTTTCACATATTATGCTTCTCACTTGGAAGTATTGAAAGTATTGTTACTGTCATCGTTCTACGAAATCTTAAATCTTGCTATTTCTGCATCTGTTCCGATCGAGCAGTCCCGACCTCGAAGCAGGTGTCCCCCGTGGATTAATAAAACAATTAAGTATTATAAGAATAAAAAAACGCTTTTCAAAAAATATTGGAAATGTGGCTCTGCTTCCGAATATTTCGCTTATTCGGCGGCAAGGTATGGATTTAATTCTCTCAACCATCAATAATATTGCAGATACCTTCAGGTTATTAAATCCTCTCTGTTTGCTAGCTCTAAATACTCTTTTAAGTTTGTTAAGTTCAAAAGAACAATCTCCATAAATCTCTCGGATGTTTCTTTCAACGGCTCTGAGTGCTCGGGTGATATTAAAACCTGAATCCTCTTTGCTAAATACTTCCAAAAAAGCTTATTGGTTGCTAATCCCGATTTAGCAGTAAACTACCCGTAACCGATAACTGATTTGATTTCAATTCCTAATTTAGTTAGTTCTGAAAATGACGTATGTGGTCTTATCTCAAAGATTTTTAAGAAGTCCCTGAATTTAGTTGTTTTCTCTTTGTGTTGGCAGACTAGTTTCCTTATTCCTATTCACAAAAATGGAAGTAGACAATTTGTAGAGAACTACAGAGTCATTGTCAAGTTAAGTGTCTTACGCAAACTGTTCCAGCGAATTGTGACTCAGCATTTGGCCTTTGCCATCAAATCGTATTTCGCTCAACTCCAACGAGGAAAGGAAGATTGAAAAGAAAGATCTGCACTCACCAATCTGTTAGAGTTTACTTGTCATGTTTTCAAGGCTATTTCTAGTGACTCGCACTGATGTCATATACACTGATTTTAGTAAAGCGTTTGATTTGGTTAACCATAAATTACTCATCTTTAAACTCCAAGCGTCCTCCTACTCTATTTAGTAAAGTGGATACGCTTTTATCTGCATAATAGATCATTCAGGGTTTTGTTAAACTTTATTACCTCGGATGAATTCCCCGTTACGTCTGGCATACCTCAAGGCAACCACTTAGGATCCATTTTATTTAATTTATACATTAATGATCTCCCATCGGTGATTACCTCCAGCGAGATATTAATGTATGCTGATGACGTGAAACTGTTTTATACCTTCTCCGTAGAATTGCAATCACACTAGCTTCTTTTCTTTAGTTGAATTCCATGTATAAATGGGTAAAAAATAAACAACAACATTCTACATGATTGTTGTACTTTGTAGGTAAAAACGTAATTTGTTTGCTCTCTTTCTTTGTCTTTGATATCGACTTTTGTTAATCGTGAACTCGTTTAGCTTATTCTTGAAAGTAACGTGAAGACTTCACCAACCTTCGATTTTTTTTAGGAAAATTTTTAAACCAAAGCTTTTGTAAACTTTCTTCAACTGGAAACACCAGGATGCGAATATATAAGTCTAAATAAACTCAAAGTCGTTAATGCTTCAGTTGCGCTTTTCAAGAACATGTATAGTTTTAAAACTTCCAAAACATATTTCTATAATAACAGTCAACATTCAACAAAAGTTTAACACAATGCATAACAGGCAAACGCACCTCCACTTAAAGTGTTATTTAAAGCTGTTATTTATACTCCATTAGATTAGCAGCACTACTGTGGATTGGCGTCTACGAAACTTTATAGAAACCAGCAAGAGTCGCGCGCTCCCTCACTGCCACACAGCGACAATGGACTAAACTAATCTAATACCACATAACGCCTTGTCTAATGAGCAGGTTTATGCATTGAATTAAAAAACAAATTTTTTTTTCTATATTTATTATCGTAGTGTGTAGGGTTAAGTATGTGATTTAGAAATGTTTACGTTTAATTTTTATTAAAATTCAATAAAATGCCTTGACATTGACCAGCAAAACGTTCAACATAAAAAGTAAAAAATTAAAGGCAATTTTTCAAAACAAATTTTATGAAATATATATTTTTTATTTGACTTGACAGAATGTTAGAAGAGATAAAATATAAAATTATTTGCATATTTAAATTACATTTTTAGAAATTTTAAATTTTCTTCTTAACAAAAAAAATTAAAAAATTATAAAATGCGTAAAATTTGAATTAAACTTACTTCAATATGACATTGCATACCATGAATATGAATAAATGACTTAATAACAACTTCATGAAATGTAAATATTGTTGCTGGTGATTGGCGTCATTATAATAACCGCCAAAAACTTGTAGATTGGCGGTTTCTATGCTACGCTTACAGTAATCACCGTCATAATTCCAGCCCACGTATTCATTAGTACGTAAATTCTCGAGCCGCAACCATTCCTCGAGGGGTGCAAAATATTCACGTAAAGCACTGCCATCCAAACGCCCCTCGCCCAAAGCTTCTTCCAAAGTCTCTTGCCAGGGCTGAGAGGCCCCTTTGGACATAATTTGTCTATTGATATCGTTAGAAAAAATCCAAACTTAATTCACAAGTGTCTTGCATGTAAATGAAACACGAACTCACTTTAGTAAATTGCCCGCTTCAGGGTGACGATAAACATCACATTTATGTAAAGGTTTGCGGGGATCATTCACATCATACTGACCAGCTGCACGACACATGCCACGATATATTTGAAATTGCAATACTGTAGAAACGAAGTATCTGAAAAATAACAGAAAATGATGAGAAGTGAATCACTTGTTTGATTTATAAAAAAGTTATTGATAATAGAACAACCGTTCAAATTCGGTTGTTGAGGAATTCTTGATACCTATCATCTATCTTATCATGTCAGTACTCTTCAAAATAAACATCTTGAAAAATGTACGATACAGACACTTTCGAATTGTATTGTAAATCAGCGAAGATTGAATCACATTTTAGCCACCGTAGGACCTCGATGGGCCTTGAATTTTAACCTTGAACTTATATATTTTATTCATTTAAAACCTCATTCTCAAAAATATGTGTTTTTTTTACCTTAACCTTAACAACAAAAAATTAACAAAGAAAAGACACATTTGTGGCCGTTTAGCCCTCGTGGTAATTTACTCCTTCAGATTTCTCACAAATGTAACACGTTCTCTTTGTAAACTGTTATCGTGTCATCTTGGAGGATTTTTCAGTTCTTTTTTTTTTTAATAACGTCCTATACCATCCAGCCTGGTTTCAGGGTCAACTTTATTGCAGCTTTTCGATTCGTTAGATGGCTATTCACATACAGATATAAGTGTTCTTCGTCTTTTGGCACGTTCACTTCTTTTTATCTTTGAGTAGCTAAAATAATAACCTTTCAATTAATTTCACAGTTCCCAAAGTAACTGAGAATCACATCACGGTATGATTCGCTATAAAAAGTCCAGTATGATTATGGTTGGAAGATATTGTATATACCCAGGAAAATTTCTTAGTCTACGATACTTGCAACATATATATTTGCATCATATCATTAAAAGGTAATATAACAGAAACTTTATTGTATAAAGCACAAGATTTTTTTTTAATTTAGCGGGAAATTTGAGGTCAGAATAAAATTGAAGTTGTGTAACCATTATTTCACCAACCAAATAGATAGATATTAGTGAATTATTGTTCAAGATTATTGATGTTGCACAAAACTCGTTAAAGATTATGTAATCTCCAATGAGTGATACGCAGAACATACTTAATTAACGTCACTTGATTTACATAGAAATATGATCATTCTTGATAAAAGCACGAACTGACAAAATAAAACCTATTTCCGTTAGAGTTAACATATTGCAGGGAATTCGCTCATACTCTTTTATTGACGAAGTCCCACACTAGTTCCGAGGTGAAGATGAAGTTTAATTATAAAAAATTCTATGTAGTTTTTGAAAAAATACAAATCTTTTTATTATTATTATTATTATTATTATTATTTTAATTTTAGACTAATGAATTGAATTCTTAGACTAAAAAAAGAGACATTGAGCACTAGCAACATAGGCTATCGGCTATAATTTAAAAAAATGGATATTAGATAATAAGCTTAGTAGTATTAATGAAGTAAGATATTGAATTGATATTCTGTTCTTAAGTTGATTGTAGAATGTTCAAAGGGTTAATCGTTCCAAATGCAATACTTCTAGCCAAGGAAAAGTTGAGGCAGTCGCAGAGAATGTGCTTTATAATAAGAGTTTGTCCACAACAGCTGATTGGGGGAGAAGACTTCTTCAGGATCCATTGGTGAGTTGCAATTGTATGACCAAGGCGAATTCTCGAAAATGTTTGGATCTTGGTTTTCTCAACATTTGTTGGATATAGAGGTGGAGTTAATTGAGGGTTAATGCAAGAATAGTGTTGGTGATGGTATTGTAAATTTCCTTCTGCAGTTTTCTCTTTAACTTTTCTTCCAATGTATCTTTGAAGATCCAACTTTTCCATGACATCATCCATAATTAGAGGAGCAGAAGCAGCATACTTTGCCGCTCGATCAGCCTGCTCATTTCCCAGTAAACCGATGTGACTTGGTACCCATAACATTTTAATTTTTCCGTCGGGTGTAGTAATTATATTCCTTAATTTGTTGATGGTGCTCCATCTCGAAGTCGAAGGGTTCCGGGTAGCTAGCAATACAGACAAACTGTCAGTAACAATGACGGTTTTGAGTTTGTTTTTATGGGCAAGGTTGGCAGCGTGAAGGATAGCTCTGGCTTCGGTTATGAAAGTTGAAGTGCTTTCGTGAAATATGTGGTTGAGAAGAATCCGACCTGTAGCATCTACCACCGCAGAAGCAGGAGGCAGACCAGGAGATTTTGAGCCGTCTGTGTACAAAAGATTCCAACCAGTATTGTCCAATACTTGGGTTTTCTCAGCTATTAGATTCCTGAAGACGTAATTTGGTTCTTTCTTGTGCATAGACAGTGAGATGTCAAAAGAGCAGTCTTTCAAAATCCAGGGAGGTTTAACACCAAAAGAGCGGTAAATTTTTAAGGGAATGTTCAATTCCTTTGCGATGCACAAACAATGGTCAATTGCAGATGGTGACTTTGGAATTTTCTTCGCAATAATAATCTTTCTTACGTCATCACCGAGAATGGATTTGTTTGAATTAAGAAGCTTAGGGACTATTTTAGCTTTTAACTCATACAGTCTATTTTCTAAGGTTGGGAGACCAGTTTCAATTATAATATTATTTATGGGCGTCGTCCGAAAAGCATAACAACTTGCTCTAACGGCTTGGTGATAGACCGGTTTAAGGATGTTGATATTAGATTTGCAGCTATTGCCATAAATTATCAAAGCATAGTCAATCTTGCTTAACACAAGCATTTTGGTAAGATAAGCGATAGTGTTAATATGCGCATGGCTTCTCCAACCAACGTACTGTATGAAATTTACCCTTGTTAAAAGGGAGTTTTTTAAACGAAGGCAGTGTGCTTTCCAACGATAATTGTTTGAAAACGTGAGCCCGAAAACATGGAGCGTCTGCACATTTAGTACTGGTAAGCCGTTAGTATGCATCAGTAGGTTTCCTGCATCGCACATTTGTTTTCGACAAATGTGAATTTTTTTGGATTTTTGTATAGAGATTATAGCTCCTGACGAGTTTGCCCATGTGGAGATCTCACATGCAATACATTCGAGGATGTTGATTGCTTTCGTGTTGTCTTTTTCTTTTGTAAAAATGTATACATCGTCCGCGCAGAGACAACGTTCCACCCTTGGTACACGGTAAAGAATTTCGCTAATTTCGTTGAAAGCGATCTGGAAAAGCGTGACAGAGAGAGGAGATCCTTACGGAATGCCATTCTTTAGCGGAAAGGAATCAGAAAGATGATTGTTGATTCTAACTTTGAACCGCCGATGCGACATGAATGGTTTGATGTAGTTGAAGAATTTGGGTCCAACATTCCATGATTTCAAGAGTCTTAAGATAACATGAAGACCAACTCTGTCAAATGCTTTTTCGAAATCAATTGAGAGAATTGTTACGTGATTTCGTTCGGAAATTGCTTTGCTTGTGAAATAATCAATATGTAACAGAGCGTCGATGCATCCTCTACCCCGCTTGAAACCAACTTGTTGCTTTGTTATCAGGTTCTTGGACTCAAGAAACCAAGATAATCTGGACGCCATAATCTTCTCTAATACCTTAGAGAGGCAAGGTAAAAGAGAAATTGGTAGTACGGAGAATAAACTGTAGAGTTCTTGCTGAGAAAACGATTGCGCAGGTGGAATATAGAGCGAAAGCACTGTAAATTTTATATTTAACATTATTTGTATCGCTACGGCTTGTATATTTGAGCTTAAATTTATGCGTTTGTGAGGTATACTTGATTTTATAAAAACACCTACTCCTTGTTTGGAATATGAATTTTGATCAGCATTCGCGAAGTATCCAGTATATGATTTGGGTGGAATAGGATTAAAAGAGCTTCTACAATGGGTTTCTTGAAGCGATAAAAAGGTTGGATTAAAATCATTTATGAGTGTACGGAGTTCATCAAAATTATTAATAAGTCCCTTAATGTTCCATTGTAGAATTTTAAAAACTTTATTTAATTGTAATGACATGTAAGCAGAGTGGAGGGAGGGTTAAGTTGACATGTCAGCGTCTCCGTCGAGAAGGTCACTATAGGAATTTTTCGTGAATGATTTATTCTTACCAGCAGAATAATCTGTATTTAGGTGATTTGGTACATTTGAAGCGCAACGGGTTGGCGCACGTGAATAATTTGAAATTGAAGGTTGATTAATGGATGAAAGAATGGATTCATTAACACTTGTGATTTGTTGAGTAAAGTTGAGAGCTGGAGATTCTGGAGAATTTGGTATATT